TGTGGAAGGCATACAGGGCGGCCGCCGGGTTGAGTGCAATCGAGGACGAGCACGGCCCGCCGGGTCTCCGCTGTGATGCCCACTCCGTGCGGCCCATCTACCTTGGCCCTCGGAGAGAACCGAAGCAGCCGGCGGCGAAAGAAGACGGAGGTCGGGTGGCAAATGTTTGGTTGCTGTCTTTTGGTGTAGTTGTAGGATTTAAATATTTGTGTTTAATGTTCGCTAGGTTCAGACATGGGTGGTTTCCAACGTGGTTGGTCCCAGGTGACTGTTCGACTCTTCCGGACAGTGCAGGGAATAGCATCGATCTTTTGACCCTTGAATTGTCCAGCTCGATCCACTTGGAGTCATGCTGTGCCCAAGAAAGCGACCCGTAGGTCCCTTTCTCTTGGTTTTAAACATCATCTTTTGGGCATGGATCAATTTCACAGTCCTGTTTCTGTTTCTTCCGGTTCCCCTCAAAAAGAACACACCCGGTTCGGTCCATCCACATGGGGAACCCGGAGGTGTTGAAATCGGTGGGTTGCTCCCCGGAGGAGCGGAGGAGAACCGCTGTGCCTACAGCTCCCAGTGGACGTACAGAGGCATGGGCGGGTTTTTTTTCCAGCTAACGGCCACATGGTTGTCGCTGGGACACATTTTGCATTTTTGCTTCTGGCGGTTTAGTGGTTGAAATCCAACCACTTAACTGCAACACAAATACATGTTTGCTCCCCTTCCCACGTCAACCAAGGCCAGGGAAGGGGTTCTCTAGAGCTACCTTCCATGTCCATTCTGGACCCAGGGATCCGATTCTTTCCAGAAAACCTTCAGAAACCCAGGGAAAACGACCAGTTGTTGAAAAGAACGATGGCTGAAAAGAATGGGGAATTCGGCCAATGTTTTGAGAAGCCTTGAAATGACTTTGGGAGTGCCTTTAACTTTCTTTGGGACAATTTACAGGCTAATTTGGGGGGGATGTTGCTTTGATGGACCCGGAGGGGTGCTTTAAGCAAGGCATTGTTGAGACCTTACTTAAGCGGAGTCGCTTGGGGAGCTTGGGCCCTGCGAGAGTTACCTCCATATGCATAAACATATTGTGTATTTTCCCTGGCATCCCAAGGAATCTGTCACCGGACATATTGCTTTGCAACAGTGCACACCGATCAAGGCCCTTAGAAGGCCGAGACTACTTGATGGATCCAGCCAGCAGTTGTGCCAAACCTACGTTCTTCTCCAGAATTAGTTCCCCTCTTATGTTGTTGCTTTTTTGGGGTTCTCCTTGTTTTCCACTAGCCAGGCACAAATGAGAACTCCGTGGACAACCCTTGCAACCTTTCCGCCACAATATCGGTTGTGTCCCCCTCCTTATTGTCAGTTTGCAATTTCTGCGACTCTAAGTGCCCTAAGTCGCTGCATCGGCCGCACGCGCAAAACCCCATTTGCGTTTTCGCCCCCCCCAACAAATGACAATATGTCCAGTAGCGATCGATTCCTTTTAAAACCAACCGGGGAAAACAAAAATGCGAAAAAAAAAAAAAAAAAAAACAGTATGATTCCTTTCAAAGCCAACAGGGGAAAACTATTAAACAAATGGAAGGCAACACTTGGTTACAGGGAGAGCAGTGTGGAAGACAAAGCCACGACGTGCTTGCTGAGTTGGCCATCGGCTGGCGATCGGTTTGACCATTGGCCCGTACAAATTGATGACGCCGGAACGCTTGGCTGTAAATAGGACCCCAGCAAAAAGACGCAAGTGGGTTTGCACTGGACTGAGCAGCGTGACCAACATCCCAACCAACTCGCAGCTAAGTTGAACCTTGCTCGGCCAAAGGGGGAAGCTCACCAGCCACTATGTTTTTTTGGCTTTCTCTTGCAAAATTACTAAACCACAGGGTTGGCTCACATGGTCAGGGGCTAGGAGCGCGCCATAGCGCAGTCAATTGGGCTTCTCCACGAAACCTCAAAACGGGTACCACCAATCAGCTGGCTGGCTGGCTGGCTGGCTGGCTGGCTGGCTGGCTGGCTGGCTGGCTGGCTGGCTGGTTGGTTGGTTGGTTGGTTGGTTGGTTGGCCAAGTTGGCCGCACCTGTTGGCTCTCACTTGGTGGCAGATGGGAGGTCCAGGCTGGGTTTCTGGCTGGCTTTCATAGATCTTCATGGGGGCAGGTCTTTGGTTGATAAAGAAGGTTCATTTAGGCTTGGAAAGGGTTGATTTCCATTCTGCTAGGTTGGCCCAGGTTGCAACTTGCAACGGCCACCAAATCAGAGCCAATAGGCAGCCGTGGGGCACCAACAAAGAAACCAAAGAAACACTCCCCCTTTTGTTGGGCTTCTTTTTCTTCCATTTGCTTAATAATATGTTGTGTTTTTCATTGTTGGTTTTAAAAGGAAATCTATCACTATTGGAAGTATATTTTTTCCAGGGGTCTTCACCAAATGGAAGAACTTATGAACCCAGTTGTCAGAGCCCGCCCTCAGGCGAGAAGAGGGTATGGCGGTGTAAGAAGGAGGCTGCCGGCGGCCGGTTCTGCACAGACCACGCGGCCAAACGCCGAGCGCACATCCAAAAGCAGAGCGCGAAACGCCAGAACAAGCCGCAGACGTTGGAGGATATGGAGAGGTGCGCCTACAGAAGGACCCAGACTTTGTTTGCCTTGCTTTCATGGTTTGCCTTGTTTTCATGGTTTGCCTTGTGTGTGTTCCAGTACTCGTAACCCGCAAAAAGTCCACTCGTTTCGGGGGGGGTCCAAGTCTGGCGAAAGTTGGCGCAGGGGCAGCTTTCGAGGACCCAGGCACGGGAACACCCACAGGTGCAAAGCTGCATGTTTTTCGGGGAGCCAAAGGGGAACCACCGAGTTCTATTGCCCGATGTTGACCCCGGATCTAAGTAAAACCTCCTATTATTAGTGGCGCCTTCAAAAGTTGTTCAAACGTGACGAACATCTCCACTGAAGCCTGGGCACCCCTGCCCAGGCAAGAAGAATCCAAGGCGAACCTCCTAAGGGAGGCACCTTTGAGGGGTGTATGAATCCGAGCTTCCAAAGAACAGAACGGAACTTGCCAAGTCCGAGCTCTCTCTTCGGCAAAACCAAGTCAGGACATGGCGGAGTCGTCCGAGCGGAGAACTCAAACTCTGGCGCTGCAAGCGGCCCTTGCCGGCGGGCGCCAGCGCCTCCGTGGGTCAAAACCGTTTTAGTACGATTTTTGGGTAGGTGCACCACCCATTTTAGTCCATTTTACTGGGGATCGGGATGTTCACTTGGGGGTACGGGATTTTGACCCATGGCCGTATGTTCCTATATTCCTATACTCACTCCCTGAGTTGCTGGGCTTTCTGAACTTTTGGGGAAGGCCATGTTAGTGGAGAAAATTAAGAAGTGCCTGCGCTTTGTTTGGCCCGTCCATGAGTGGAAGTGAGCTAAGCCAGACCAAAAAGGGTACCGAGCGTCAAAACAGGAACCACACCCATTTGGCATTATCCAATCTTTGTTTCTCACGAAGCGACCGTTTGACCTTTTGGTTTTCCAGTTTTGGCGTTCAGCCTTTCTGTTCCCTTTGCGCAGCCAAGTGGTCAGGGGCAAGCTGTTCCCAAGTTCTCCAGCGGCGTTGGTGATGTTTCCTGGTGGTTCCCGCCAGGCACTGAATCAGCACCCTATGGTTGACTAGGTTCCCCAGGATCGTGCAACCTTTCTCACCGTTTCTTTTTTGTTGGGGACTAAAAATAGGCTGCAGAAAAAGGGTATGCTTATTCTAACGTCTCTAATCTGGAGGACCTAGTTGATTTCCGAAATATTGCATGCAGTTGCACAATGTAAGATCAGATGTCAGATGCAGTGCGAGGCATACACGAGGTAGGGGGAAACTCTACTCAAATCCACTACCCTGTTTGCCCCCTGTACTGGAATTTGTGTTTCATCTCAGGTTTGCAACTGCCCTTAGCTGTCCAGGAGCCCAGCTGTGGCACCCGGTTTCCTTTTTGCTTTTTGGGTGGTTTCTCATGCCGTTCCTCGTTACAAATGGTTTTGCATTTTGGGGCCCCTTCCACCTTTTCAGACAGGCAAGGACACAACTTTCTCTGAGGATTTTGCCAGTACCACGAGCTGGTCAGGCAAGAGGACTACCGGAAGGATCGGGAGCGTCGGATGAACCGCAGGATGACACCGCAAAAGCAGCAGCCAAGCGCCTGAGCAGCCGGGACGGTTGTCCATTTCACACCTGCCCGCCCCCGCTGGGCCACCGTTTCACCGAGCTAGACGTGCCGCAAGTCAAAAGGATGTCCGAATGCAGATTTTCTGCCAGCATGGGCAAGGCCAGCGCTTCACAGCGTTGTTTTGGCCAATCAAACAGTTTTCGCGGGTCTCCCAACTGTCCCTTTTGCTTAGATTCAATCATTTTCGGCAAACTGGATTTACCTGGTGGTTCTTTGCAAGGGCAGGGCCAAATCGAAGTGTGTGCTTTCTCCAATTTTTAGAGGGCTTCCTTCCTGGATGGTTTGAAGGTAAAGGTGTGGGCGCTTTTCTTCAGCTTCCCAAGAAATTGGCGGCTTGGTTTTCCCCGAGCCCAGTTTCCTTTTGGCTCTCCCTGAAACGCCACCCTTACAAGGCATCCTTGGACATGTAAATCTTCCTTTTCGAGCCCCGGTGGACTTTACGGGGTGTGAAGCCACCAACGACGCTTTCAACGACTGGCTTGGTTGCGGGAAACCGGTGAAGAAGTGTCCAACATGGCTATGGGTTTCTATACTCGCTCCCTGAGTGCCTGCACTGTGTACTTTGTGGGAAGTCCGTTCTGCTGGCAAACATGTAGATAAAGTTCCTGGACTTTCTCTGGCCGATCCAGCCGGCAAGGGAGATGCTGGCGGCAAGTGCTCGGCCTTTGCCAGACCTTTTGCCCATTTGAAACATGGCCTGTTCCACCAAAATAAAGGGAAACCACCACCATTTATAAGGTAATTTTCAGGTGTATAATGTAAGGATCCCTGCTTTTTATCGCCCAGCTCGAGGCAAACCGCGAGCCAAGGATTTGGGCGGAGCTCGCTGAAGGTGCCCATGGGGCCGATTTGGGGGGCGGGGGGGGGGGGGGGAAGGTTGCGTATGGCCCGGAAAAGGCCAGGGACAAGTTGACAAGGGTTTGGCTTATCCAAACCATAGGTGTCCTTTTTGGGTTAGTTTGTGTTAGTTTTTTGAGTAAAACTTGCTGGTGCTCAGCGGGGAAAGAGGGAACGACCCTCAAGAACCATCCCTTGTGGTTTCCTTTATGGGTTCATTTCCTCCTTCCCTGCTTACCGGCAGAAAAAGGTGAACCTGGGAGGTTACCAGGGCAAAAAAAGAGAGCTTCGGCTGGACATGGGGATGCCCCAACGTCGCTTTGGTTCTAACCTTGTTCGGGTGGCTTCCTAGTGAGCGAGCAAGATCGGGCCTCATGGGACGGGGGTTATATTTGTTGCGACGTCACCTGAAGTCAATGCAAAGTGCGCCTTGGGCATATCGCAAATCAATGCGGAAATATGCGGGTCTTTCTTTTTTGAGGGGACAGTTTTTGTTGGGTATTGAAGGGAAACCAAAAGGAACACCAACAGTTTGGAGGGTGCGATTCAGAACAGTAAAGGATACACCCACATTTGGAACCGTATGGGAGCCCACGCTTGTTTCACTTGCTTGTTTGGCTGAGTCCTTTTAGGGACGACCCAGATCACTTTTGGATGGAGGCCATATTGGCCACATTGGTTAGTCGGCCCAGGGTCAACGTAACGTGGCTCACGGCCCAGGTGTTTGCGACGGGTCAACTCTAAGGACATACCCCCCAAATGGGGGGGACAAATTCATTACCGGTTACCCCAAAAGCCATGCTCATAGGTTGCTTCGAAGTGGGACATGTTCATGCCGGGCATGTAATTAGCACTTGGGTCAATCTGAATTTGGCCCTTTGCCTTCAGGACCAAAACGTGCATCCCAAAACGCTGTGGGACCCGTGGTATTTCATTGGGCCCCTGGTCAGCGCTCCGATTTGCCCCGGGTTTTTCACCCAGCGCTCCACAGGAGTTTCGTGTGCGGGTCCTTGGGCTTGCAGGCGAATCGACCTGTCAAACCTTTGGGTTTTCCCCCTTGGACACGCTTGGCATGGAACTTAGTTGTGGCTGCCATATGGCTGTGGCTCAAAAACCGGTACCGAAATGGAACCCTAGTAAGTGGAAACATGGACCAAACACCTGCAGAACCCTCCTGTTTAATTTTGAGCCACAGCCATATGAAGGCGGCTTCTTTTGGGGCGAAACTATTCCCCATGGCACGCCAAAGTGTAAGTTCCCATGGCACGGTCCAGTGAGAACGTGTTCACACTCGCAGGGGGCGTTTGTGGCTTCACGCTCTTGCACTTCGCGGCCTTTGCTGGCAAGCCCAAGGCGTGCCAAGCCCTCATCGATTTGGGCGCGCCTTGGCTGGTCAAGCAGTAGTGAAGCCTGAAACGCTTTGGGTCTCGAAGGGGCCCTTTGGTGCTCCCCGCCTTGGTACCTGGAGTCTCCATGACCCTCAAAAAATGGTGGGTCATTACCCAACATTTTCCGGGGTCATGTACCCATTTGTTAAGGGTCATGGAGACTCCAGGTACGGACCTGGGAGGCATTCCAGAATTTTCGATGCCTGAGATGGAGGATTCCCAGGTTCTCCCAGCCCAACAGTCCCTTAGTTGTGGATTCGCTTTTTGTGCATGGCTGAGTTGTAGTAATTGACCCCTGACCTAGTTTGTTTTTAGCTACTCTATCAGGGGTGGTGCATGCCACCAAGGCATACTTTCTCTTACATGTTCCTTTTGTGGGTGCAAGAGAAATTGGTTATGGGGGGGCTATTGGTTTAAAGCCTCAGAGCCATCCCCGAAAAGCACATCCTCAGAAAGACCCCTAACACCCCGAGGGTGTTTGTATTACACCCTGGGATTACATTGGGAAATGACCCAAGATGGTTCAAAGCTACACGGTTTTATCCGGAAATGTGCCGAAATGGGGTCAACACCCGGTGTATTCTCAGGGTGTAAAACCAAAAACCCTTAGAAACACAAGCTAAGGTGAACGTCAACTCCAAGACCCAGCCGCTGTGCGTGACATCTTCACAGCAGTTCTGCCGGCCAACGCCGCTGGATTTGACCACCTTCGTCCCAAACAAGCGAGCCAGGTGCGGCACGTCGTTGTCTTGGCTGCGCCCCTGGCGGTTGTTTCACCCCGACCTAGCTGGGGTCTCTTGCAAAACTATGTAGCAAAGTGTTGGCTACACATGAAACAGAATCTGAACATGTTCTAGGTCCCCCAGTATTGCCCTTTTACCCTTCTTTGGGGGATGGTTCCCCTAAAATAGACTGCAGAAAAAAGTTGATACCCTTGTTCTAACCTCCTCCCTAGATCTTAGTTTCTGTGCAGCCCAGATGCGTGTCAAGGCGTGAGCCCTACCCATTTTCTTTACCCAAAGACCGCAAAGGTAAGAACGACGCAAGAAGTGTCGAACACACATGCTGGAGGGCTGGAAAACCGCAAGAGTACTGTACCCCTCTTTCTTTGCATCCTTGTTGCGGCCAACTCGAATCGGCAGGATCTGACCTGTTGCTGATTGTATTTGCCTTGGTCCATTCGCAGTCATGGTTCCAAAACGTTCACCAAAGGTCACCTTGTCAGTCAGCCAACTTGTTGCTGTGTCTTGACGTCAGCTTACTCCTTGCAACATTATTAGTTGGAGAAGGAAGAGGGTGAGCATTCCCATCCCTGCATTTATTGGTCATAATGTTGGAGATGAGTGATAGCAATGAAAAGGAGTCTCAATGTCGTCTCCATCACTCTCTTCCATAAGTACCATTTCTGCTTCTCGTTCCAACTAGTGCCTCCAGCACAAGAGAAGAGCCAAGTCAAGGGTTCCAGCACCTCAGATAGTGCATCCCTTCGAATGCGTTCTTAAACACTTGAAACGAGGAAGCGAGTGAGAGAAGATGGGTTTGGAGGGTAGGGTTTTGGCAGGAGCGAGGGGGGTGTGAGCCGCCTGTTTCTCCCCTCTCTTTCTCGTCTCTATCTATTCCTATTCTTTTCTTTCGCCCCCGTGGGCAAGATCTGAATACAAGAGGCGAGAAAGGACATGGCCATCACCAGTTGTTAGCTGAGAGACTGATTGCCAGCCAGATCTATTTTTGTTTTGGTTTATCATCTCTAGCCCTCTCCAAGTTCCAAGGGGCTGAAAAAACGACTTGGCAAGAGAGGTAAAGAAATGACAAGAGATGAATGGGTGGTCTGTTGGGGCCGGGGGGGCCCCTCGTTGAGGTCTGATGCTTCCCACTTGTCAGTGACACCCTCTACATGGGCAATTGCTTGACTTGACGCCCTGGGTGGCGCCCGCGACCTTGCCACCAAGAGTTGGTTTCCAAATTTGACTCCAGACCTTCGAATTCCCTTTTGGTTTGGGTGCTGGATACAACAAGGATGTTCAATTTTCCCAAGGGCAACAGGCTTCTGACTCTTCTTTGATGTGGGTATGTGTCAAAATAGGGGATTGTCTCCCGTTTTTTGCCTTTGTAACCACTGCAACACAGCAGCCCCCGACAGGGGGTCCTTTCAAAAGGAAATTTGTCTTCAGGACCCCCCTGTCAGGTTCCATGTTAAATGGCGGGAGGGTAGCTAGGTCTTCCAGTAGAGAGGTTAGAATAAGGGCACCAACTTCTTTCTGTAGTCTATAAGAAGGGAACCCTCCCAACCAAAAAACTTGGGCGCTACTCGGGGACCTAGGTAGCCTCCAAGAAGGGGCTGGATCCTTTTCGATATGTGGCTCAAGATGAAGCAGGGGCAAACCGCAGGTTTTGGTCCATGTCTCCACTTACCAGGGCAACCCATGTTGGCTCCGGTTTTTTGAGCCACATGTGTCCAGACCAAACCATCCGCTCTAATCGGATCCAGGGAGCAGACGCAGCGGGTGCTGCAGGCCGCAGATGCCGCCTTCGGCGCCGTGAAGATGGATCCACACGCCGCAAGCTGTTTGGAAGGTTTTCTCAAGGATTTGCCCAGTGTTTTTGGGAGGTAGAATCCGTCCTTTTTGGGAGTTGATACCTCTTTTGAGGGATTTTCTCTCAGCGAAAGCAAGTAGGGATACAGGCAAAACCAGGTTGATACCGGAGGATTCCCCCGTTTGCACCGGAGGACTAAGTTTCACATGGGAAAAATGGCGCCAAGTTGGAATCCCCCCATATCGGGACCCGCTCCTCCGTATCCCCGCTTGTTTGTTTGTCCAATTCTCAAGGATTTGCCCAATGCTTTTGGGGGGTAGAATCCGAAGAAGCAGAAACAGGACACAAGGGGGTGTCCTTTTTTGGAGTTGGTACCCCTTTTTTGGTGGTTGATTTGCAATTTTTGGGGTTAGAATCAATCCGAAGAAGCCGAAACAGGCCATATGGGCGTGTCCGTTTTTTTGGAGTTGATACCCCTGGTTTTGAAGGGAAACCATGGCAAAACCACCAGGTGAGGTGGTTTGCTCAAGGATTTGCGCATTTTTTGGAGGTAGGATCCGAAGAGGCAGAAACAGGACATACTGTGGATGGACGAAATCCATGTCGCACCACACAAGCAACTCTGGAATGATGACTCCCCTGCAAATACCAACAAATACTGGATTCCGAATTCCCATGGCTTCAAAGTGGTGCACGGTTTCGTCCATCCACAGTGTGGCGTGTCCTTTTTGTGGAGTTGGTACAGTTTTTTTTGTTTTTAAGGAAACCACGGGGATAACCATCAGTTTGAGGGGTAGAGTCTGAATTCAAGCTGGGGAGGTGAGGTTCCCTTTGGTTCCCAGAAAAAAAAGAAGAAAAAACAAAACGCAACCCGAAAAGGGTACCCTCCGCATCTGAACAAGCTGAAACAGGACATATGATCATATACTTGTTTCATAGTTTCACCCAGCCTTGGGAAACAGTGAGCGTATGTTTCAGACATCTTTGATTAGATGAAACAGAATCTGAAAAGGCCAATTTTCTTTGAGTCCCAGATGTGCGCCTTTTGAAATTTGACCTCCACGGGGTTTTGGACCAAAACAACCTCAAATTTGACGTCCGCTGGGTTTTGGACCACAACTTGGGGACCCGGAACCTTAGGAGAGCCTCGACCAGATTTGGCTGGGCCTGATCAAGCACCAATTGCTGCGCTTCGGCGCGTTTAGCGAGGGGGCCATTACGACGGGCCCTGATGTGTGTTTTGTTCCTTCAGGATACCAGGGGTCCCTATATTTCCCTTTTTGCCGGTTTCAAACGGTTTAAACGGTTTTGGGGTCCTGGCCCTGGAGGGGGGGGCTTTCCTGTGATACACGGTTTTAAGCATCACCTTTTGGGCCCGTGAAAGGTGCGTGTCCCTTGGTGGGGGGTGATGTTTTAACGGGAAATATAGGGAGGGAGCCTTGGGATACCTCGGTGATCTTAGCCCACTGTCAATTGCTGAAAAGGAAGCTAGGAGGGGATTGATAGTCGACATGTGTTGCCAGAACCCATCATTTAGCCAGGTAGGCCCGTTGGCAGATTACATGGTCGGTTTTGCACAGCTTCAGAGACGGCAGGTTTTTCCTTAGTTGCTCCCTAAGTCCCTTTTGTGTTGCGCGCCGCATTGTCAAAGGGCTCCCACAAATCCGAAGCTACATGGTTGCAGAAAACCAGGGGGGGGGAGGTTGTGTTGCTATGTGCCTGATGCCGAGGACAAAACGAAAAAGGATAACGCGTCGGTGTCGAAGCATGCTTCAAGTCAGTAAAGTCAGCGAATAGATTTGGGCCGGAATATGGCATTGATTGCGACTAAATCCCAATATTTGACACAGCATCCCCATCCCCAAACTAATGTACGGGAAGGGATCCGCATCCATTCAGGCGGGCCCCTTTTTTAGGCTGGTAAACAGGCAGTAATCTCATCCAAGTGGCTCCTCATGATTCCCACTTTCACTGACGGAAGGTTTAAGCAACCACTCAGGTACCCCACAGACATAGAGACTGCGTTGTTGTTTGGCTCGGACCACGAACATGTCAATCCCTTTCAGGTGTTTGTTTGTTATTTCCTTTAAGGTTTTCTTTCAAGACATCCAAGTAGTTTAACCTGGGCCCTGTGGTTGCTCGGGAATTGGGTGAGTAGCTAATGCACTACCCAACTTCCGACTTTCAACATGGTGGGGAGACAATTTTCTAGGCTATTCAAAGGCCAGACCTCTTGCACTCCATTTTGAACAGCCCAGATTTTCCGTGGTGAAGCGGAGTCCTGGTTTCATTGGCCAAAGGCAGTGAAGCAAGCAGCCCCGAGGCTAGTGAAGGACGAGGTGAAGAAGTACAACAGCAGCGTGCCCCCAGGCGCCGCAGAAGTTGGGTGAATTCATCCATACACGGTTTGCCTTTTCAACTGTTTGTGGGATTAATAAGAAGGCCCCCCTGGTAGTGTAGAAACCCTTTTCAAGGAAGGCTGTTCGTTTCAGTGGAAAAGGCAAACCCTGATTTAATATCCATACCCTAATCTAGAAGGGTTCCATGAGATTCGCATCCATGGAGGTAGAGCGCTCCTATGGCTCCTCATGTGCCATTGCGCCTTTTGGCTGGAAAAGAGGAAGGTAAACCAAGAGCGGCCCCTCGTGACTTTCAGACACAGGTGGGTATAATCCGGGCTTTGTCATAGTTCCCAAGACGTCAGCTTGAACATTTCCTGATTTGACCCAAGCTCCTCAATATATTTTGTGGGTGTCCGTGTTTGAGGGTATCCTGTTTTGGCTTGTTTTATTGAGAAACCAAAAGGGAAGCCACCATTGAGGTTGACTCATTTCATTCCCAGCGGCGAGCGCGGGGACTTTGACCTTTTTGGGTTTGGTTGCCACTTTAGTAGTCACCAACAAGCTTGGACTTTATTTGGCCAATCCACTCGATGGGATTTGCGTATCCCTTTTCATCAGCTCCCCGCACTCCCATTTGACAGTGAAATGGCTGAAAAATGAGCCTGATGGGCAACGGCAGAACTAAGGGGACAAATTGAACTGGCCTTCTGCCATGGTCTGCAGAACCAGCGCCTTTGATCTTGAAACCATCGGATTGGATTTGCCATTGAACCTGAAGGGTCTTCAAGTTGCTTTTGGGCATTTGGTGCGGGACTTTCTGAGAGTCAGGTGCCAAGGTCAGCGGTATGTGCGTTGACAGGCTCCCTCAGCGGTCCTAATTTACCCGAAGCACACACTAACATGGAACCTCACAAGGGCGGGTGGAAGGAACTTCTCTCAGAGAATTTGGTCCATGTGCCTTCCCGCTTTCATCTTTGTCAGTGGAAGGATATGACGGGATCATGCAATTGATTCCCCTTGATGTTGGAAATTTGTACAGATACCGCACTTACCTGCATTCCAACACACTCAAAATGGGTTCCCCAGAGGAGACTCTGTTTTCTTTGGTTCCATGCCAATGTGCGGGGCGTATTGTGGCCACTGCCCTCCCTCCAACAATCCTGGAAGCTGACAGGAAGGCTTTTCAGGATTACTTTCTCCTTTGTGGGGACCCTGCTGTCCACTTCCATGTCGGTGTGAAAGAGGGTGCACTTGGGTGAAAGTGGTTTTGTCGTCCCCCTCACTTTCCGAAATTGTGCCATTCACCTCCCAGAGTGGCAATTTCCCTTTTTGGGGCAGGTGTTTTTCGGGAAGCCACGTATCGCGGCCCCGTTTTTTGTTTTTTGTTTCTTTTCGGTTTCCTATCATCCTCTCACGAGCCATAGGCAAGTGAGTGTAACTCGGCCATGGCTTGCCCTTTGCATTGTTTGTTAGATAAATATGCAACCCTCTGGTAGTTCAGAAGCCCTTTTCAAGGGAGGCGGTCCATTTCAGTGGAAAGGGCAAACCCTGATTCAATATCCATACCGTAATCTAAGAGGGTTGCATTGAGGTCCGCATCCATAAAGGTAAAGCGCTCCTTATTTACACAATTTGAGTGTGCTTCCATGGTTTGCCTTTTCCACTGTTTGTGGGATACATAAGCAGCCCCCCTGGTAGTGCTCATTTCAGTGGAAAAGGCAACCCCTGAGTGTAACCGCCTGAAGTAGCTTCCCTCGCTCTTTGGGCCGCTCAGCCGCTCAGCCCTGCGCCGGGTGTTGCGCACCGAGCCGCGCTGGCGCCAGATCGTGAAGTTCCCAGGCTGGTTGGGCGTTTTCAGAAACCAGCCATTTCCCCAGGGTTTTCGGCGTTTCTAGAAAGAAGGATGCCTGGAAAGAATGCGGAAGTTACCCCTAGAGTTGTGCTCGAATACATGAGCCGCCTCTGGTTTGTTCCATCTTCGAGAGAACCGCTTTAATTCAGAAGACCACGTGTTCTTCATTTTTCAAAGTCGTTAACTCGCAAAAAACGGAAGCGGAAAGGTGCGGGAAGCCTGCCCTTGCTCACCTCCTTATTGCTTACTGGTGGTCAATGGTACGCTTGGGAGAAATGGACACTGCAACCACCAGAACGGCTTGTAAGGTTTAGCGCTGAGCCTTTGAAGCCAGTTGAGCCAGCAAACTTAATTCCTAAAACTGCCTGTTGGAAACGCGGGCTTTCATCAACTGCATTAAGGGCAAGCAACATGTCGTGTTTTCGCTTTGGGCAGGCTTGAGAACTGCTAGTGCTTTCATCCTTGTAGCACTCTCCCTTAAGCTGAGGTGATTCAAGTGAATGCATTTTGGAAGACCCGTCAAACTGTCAATGGACGAAATCCTGCAGCGCTTTTAAACCCATGGGAAACCACATGAAACCACTGTTCGTTGATATTTACAAGGGGGTCAACATTCTTAGGTGGTGCAGGATTTCGTTTATCCACAGTTGTTTCCGGCGTTTGTCATTGAAATCGCTTTCGGATTTCTTTTGAAAGCTTTCCTTGGTCTTGAAACAACTCGATTTCCGCGAGTCCCGTTGGCGCAGTGACACCGAGAACGTCCGTTTCGGCGGCATCAAACGTAGACCTCCCATCAACTAATTCTGAAACTGCCAGAAGGAGTGCCCTTTCGCCCCAGTCACGCTGAGTGTTGTGGCATTTGGGCAATGTTCCCCTTTTCCTGGGAAAGGGCCACTTTCACATCAGCCAAGCAGGGGCCCTTTTTTGGGAGAGGGTTCCCCTACTAAAATAGACAAAACCGAAAAAGTTGGTTCTCTTATTCTAACTCGGTACTGGAGAACCTAGGAAGGGCTCCTTTCATCATCAGCTACCAAACCAGCAAAACACCTCTCCCTTGACAACTGGCTTTGTGACCCAGCCAGGTGAGGATGCCGCCTCCATGGCGCCTTTGCGCGGGGGGAGGGAGGGAGGGAGGGAGGGAGGGAGGGAGGGAGGGAGGGAGGGAGGGAGGGAGGGAGGAGAGGGAGAGGGAGGGAGGGAGGGAGGGAGGGAGGGAGGGAGGGAGGGAGAGGGAGGGAGGGAGGGAGGGAGGGAGGGAGAGGGAGGGAGGGGGAGGAGGGAGGGAGGGAGGGAGGGAGGGAGGGAGGGAGGGAGGGAGGGAGGGAGGGAGGGAGGGAGGGAGGGAGGAGGGAGGGAGGGAGGGAGGGAGGGAGGGAGGGAGGGAGGGAGGCAGGAGGCAGGAGGCAGGGAGGCAGGGAGGCAGGGCAGGCAGGCAGGGCAGGGAGGGAGGCAGGGAGGGAGGGAGGGGAGGGAGGGAGGGAGGGAGGGAGGGAGGGAGGGGGGGGGGGGAGGGGGGGGGGAGAGAGAAGGGAGTGGGGTTCCTCATTTTTCCGTGTTTTTTTCTCGGAGCGCGTGTGATGTGCGTGGATGATATATCCAGGCCACGACCCAAGGGCACTCGAATGAGAACTGTTTGAAGTGTCCAAGGTGGTTTGTCCGAAGCAAAGTATTTCCCAAGGGGATAAGTCTTGAATTGCGGCTTCACCAGTTGAGAACTGTCTTTGTTTGGGTGTCTCGTTTTTGCAGGTACTTCCAGTCAAAGTCTCGGCCAGTAACCTTGGCTTGGTCGTCTATTTTTTTCGGAAGTGGAACACGGTTTAACTACGATCGGCGGGCTTTTAGGTTTATGGCCACTTTTAAAAGAGGATTGTGGCAAGCTTGTCTGACATTACTGGGAAGGGGACATTTGCAGCGAGAGGCCTATATTTCTACGGGACTTTGTGGAAGTCATGTTTCAGCAGAAGTACCTGAATAACATAGATCAACTCTGCCCGTTGTTTTTTCTTCACCCTTTCACGTGACTTTGTAGATTGGTCCGAGGTGGGGTTGTCCCGGAGAACTCTATGTGAGTTTCCAGGGGCAACTATGGCACCTGCAATTTTGGAGTCCGAGATTCAGCAACCGCCGCTGACAACCATGTTGGAAGTAGAGAGCGAGCTGTACCACTAGTTTTCACCCTACCTCGGAGGTTTGGAGGTTGGGCGATGTCCCATTTACCACCTGCAAGAAGGGGTTGACATCCGAATCCAAACCACCGGCTAGTTCGTTTGCGTTTAGCGAGTTGTTCGTTGATGGGCCGAATCAACACCTAACGGGCGCAGGGCCGTGTTTGCCAGGACGTTCGTTGGTCAATTGCTGCTTTCTTTTCTTCTAGCTCGCTGGGGGGAAATGATCATGGCTCATGACTGGTGAACGGTGCATTTCTAAAGGTCCATATGACTTTCTGCCGGGGGGGGACGGCTGCCAAATGTATGTGTGCATGCATGTGTTGTTTGTGTTTAATCTACATTGTATATTTTTTCCGGAAGCGCTGCACGTTTGAGCAGCTGGACTAAAGTCACAGGCTTCCAGAGGAACCACCGGTTGACAGGAACCCAGCCCTGAAATGGGACTTATGCAGGCTGACTTCCACAAAAAGTCTGCGGGATATTTGGGCGGGTCCTTTGGCAAAGCGGGCCCAAAACCTTGTTTGTGCCGTTCCCATTATCGCAACCAGGCTAGTGGTCATTTGACTGACTGCGTTGCTTTGCGTAAATAGCTACCCCCTGGCCACCCATTTTTTGAGTGGTAGACGTTTAGGTTACGTCTTGTTTGGACCAAACGATTCAGGAAGTGAGCTATACGACTCATCCACGTCAACACTTGAATTCTTCCTGACTCCGAGGAAAGGAAGCGGCTGAGCGCCGTGGATTGAAGTGGGCCGTGCAGGTTCTTCCTAAATGTTTCCCTTTAAAGCCACGCCAAGCAGGGTTCCACTGAGGCTTTGCCAGAAACTTGGCAAAATCCAGAGGTGCAACAGGATACCCGAGCAAGCCATTCTGTACCAAGATGTTTGAAGCCCTTGCCTTGACCGGCTTGCCTGGCAGCACCTGGAAGCACTACCCGAGTCTAGCTGGTGTCTTGTGATGGGCTCGAGCCCACGCTCGACGGGAACGCCACCCTTGGGCATAGCGGCTTGAGGGTAAAAAGCTCTCAAAGGGACAGTTCTTCCTCTGCCAGGCTGTTCTTGAACGCCCTGCTAGATTCGATTCAGACAAGTAAGTGAAACATCCGTAGCTATGCTTCCCACCAGAAATAGACGAGGATGGGGAGGTCATTTGTTTCTCTTAAGGGATGGACAAAGAGGGGTCGTTTTGTCTTGTTGCCATGCGGGGGGGCCTATCCTCAATGGTTGCAATGGAGTGGCTCTTAGGTGCAAGCCGCACTACGTTCTAGCCGCAAGCACTTCTCTCCAGAGTCGGTTCTTGCATTTTGGCATTTACCACTGGTCAGGCCGACAAAGATCCATAATGGCCCCTCGTTGTCAAGGCAGCCGCTTGACATTTGTTGTACTTTTTGTGGCCCCGTTTTGTCTTGCAGGCACAGCTTGGTTGTGTCCTGACATGTGGAGGTCCCTCTGGGACAGATGTTTTTGAGGAAGGCAAAGGGAAACCGCCAGAAGCCCTTCCCCATGTTAGGCCCATGTTAGTTTGAAAGCAGCTGTTTGGCCCACGCCTGTGTTTTGCTCCGAGGAAAGGCCTTTACCGTTTGGAGGCCTATGCGATTGTGCGTGGGGGGCGGGGGGCAGAACCTTGTTGCTTGAGCTTTTTTTGTGATATGGCATGTTTCAAGGAGAGAGGTTGGCCTGGTCTGAATTGCAGATACGGAAAAGATGAGATTGCTACACTGCTACACTGTTCTTGGTGGCCACGGCCACGGCTGCTTTTTGCATGCGTCGGCGCTGTTCACTTTTTGTCGGGGCTTCACAGGACAGTCAGAGTATTTTTGGAAGCCGGCTTTAGAAACGGTGTTCCGTGCTAAAGGGGTCCTCAAAGGGATGGCATGCCCTAAAGAAGAGTCGTTGAGTTCATCCGAGGCAACCTCTGTAAACCCTGCAGCTTTGACAATCAATTTAGGGGTAGTGTGGTGGTTATGTAATCTCAAATCCCATCAGCTTTCCATCTTCAGTTGTTCGTTTACCAGGTAAGCCCCCGTAAAAAGGGAGTTTGCACTCAAAAGGAAAGCCCACTGACCATGCACTCAGTTGTCCAAAGCGAATCGACCTTTGAACTTTTGGTTTCTCGTGAAAGGTTATCCTTGTATTCCTGGGTCCTTTGGGCAACTGAATACGCACACGTATGCATATTATATCTAATATGTGTGCCTTTTTGGGGACCCTTTGTTGGATCGTTAAAAGTCCTAAAAATGCATTGTCTACTCGCTTCGGTTTAAAACGGAAACAAAAGAAAAGGGAACCAACCATTCCTGCAGTCTGAATATTGTCCACGTGGTAGGGACCGAGTCAATACAAACTTTTCTGTGTGGTCCATGGATCAAGAATTTGGGGTAGTCCCTCAAACAAGCCCGTCAAAGCGCGGCCGTCATGTTGACTCCATATAAATCAACCCCAGTTTATGAATCGGGGGGGTGGTTTTTGGCCCCTCCAAAAGTGGTCTGATTCCCCACATTTCTCCCAGGAAGAAGCACTTCCCGCTGGCAGAAAAAAGTCCAAAAGTGGTCTGATTCCCCACATTTCACGCAACAATGGACACCCCCTATACCAATGCTTGTCGAAAAACTCGATCGCTTGCGCAGGCGCAAGCTCACCTGGGTGCTGGTTGGTGACGCCTCCATGGATCGCAGCTCGCGGCTGGCGGTGGGAACCTTAAGGGCCCTGGTGGCGTGGCGGTTGGCATTCGTGGCCTTTTTGGCGGTTGGCATTTGAGTTCCATCGACTTTGGTGTTTTGACTGGTCACCACGACTCACCAAGGGCAACCACGACAACTTTCAAGCTGACGGGGTCTCGACAATGCAAGTTTTGGATCTCAGAAGTTTGTGTTTCGCTAGCCATTCAGATGGGGTGATCTTGACCTCAACGTGGGGACCGCGGAGAAAATGGCAGGGGGGCACAAGCCTTCTGGCCCATTGGGCTTGTGACAGGCTTCCGTTCTTTTCTTGTGCCACCCCACCTAGAGGAAGCTTAGCTCACTCCCTAAGATCCTGGACTCTTTTTTCATTCAAAACCATTTTAGTGCTAAAATCCCAACAGTTCGGACAGTCAAATGAGATTCCGCCACTGATGGCATGAACCCCCCTAGAGGGGAACCATGGCGATTTTGCTTTCACAAAAGTGAACTGTTGTTAAAACTGTTGTTCTTGAGGGGGGCCTGAGGGTCCGCCAAAATTTGCTTTGGAGTAGATGACAAAAAACGTCCTATGAGTATAAAGCAGGAATTATGCAGTTGAACCACCGGTATGGCGTGAAGATGCTGATTGGCTTTTAGACGCGCGGCAACATGGTTCCGATTGCAGGAATGACCATGACACACACACACACATTAAGGTCATTCGGGGTTTCGGCGAGGCAGATTTTGAAACGTCGATACCCAGGGACTCGCTTCAAGAGGCGTCCTGTTGCGCAACGGTAGTGGGGTCGTGGATTCCAAAGGCAATCTACGTATGCAGGGCGTAGAATACTCCAACGAAAAGGACCCTCTCAATTTCATTCATTCCGGACGGGCCATGGCCATGAGAAAGGTTGGGGCAAAAGCCACGCTGCGGGGGGGGTCCTTTTGTGTCCCTTCAGAACCATCCAGCAAGGGGGGTTCCATGGAGAACTAATCAAAGTCGAACAACCAAACCACATATTTTTTGGAGAACAAATCGAAGTCGAACAACCACACCAATTACCACACCAAGTTGACAAACCGCGCCTCACGTGAGGTGCTCGCCTGGAACCTGACGCTTTTCCTGCTGAGCTGGTGGCTCTTTGGCTTCAACGCCTTTGAGCTTCTCCAGGCGCAGGGGTTTATTCCGTGGCATGGCTCCATGGCATGGGCGGGCAGATCTAGAAGCAAGCAAGCAAACAGACAAACACACACACACACAGACCCAGACACAGACACACAAACAAGCAAACAAACGAGCAAGCGAGCAAGCAAGCAAGCAAGCCAACGAAAAAACAAGAGAGACAGAGACAGAGACAGAGGCAGAGGCAGAAACAAGCAAACACACAAGCAAACGGACAAACAAATCGACGAGCGACGGAGAACCGAACTAACAACTCCATTGGCTTTCTTTCAGGCGGTGCTGGTGTCGATTGTCCTCATGGCCACTACTAGCCTGGCCCGGGGCATGGACCGGGAGAAGCTTTGGGAGCGCTTGCCCAGCCAGGAGACGCTATCCCGGGCGCCGGTTTCCCGCAGTTTCCCAGAAAGCCGCCAAAACGGACACCCTCAACAATTGCACTCGTCTGTTCTCACGCACGGGGATTTGTTGACGCTGCAAATGACCTTAAGCACTCCGGGCTGGGGCGAAGTTGCTTCGAACCATCAGACCATGGGTAATCATGGGTATTCTATATCTGCGCTGTTCAGGGGACAGTCTCAAAGATTAGCCAAATTGGCTAACAGATTTGGCCCCGGAATGCAGATGTTGAAAGGCGGCTAAACTTGGGAGCGTTCAAGTAAAGCCTCGGACAGGACCCCGTGTTCTGAGACTGGTCGGAAGGATGCCCACATTCCCAACGGGTCGTCCCTTTTCAAGGGCGCTCGGGTTGAGGAGGGGTTCCCCTGCTCCTGTCACGTTTGGCGGGAGCTTCGTCCATTTTGGGGAGCCTAGTCATGAAGCAAATTGGTCGAAAGAGGGGTCGAGGGCTGAAGCCTTGCTTCATGTGAAAGTGCGGCTTGCTGTCAAGAGCTCGGCCTCAGCCGCCTAAAGCGGGCACAAGGACTGTTGGTGCAGGATCGCTTGCATACCCTTTTTCTTTGTCGGGGTGCTAGATGACCTATATTTGCAATGTCGTTTCTCCAGAGAGAAAACAAACAGGGGATGCGTATTTGAGTTGAAAAGACGCAGAGCTTTTAGAAGGCTCAAACATTGACTTCTCATTGACTTGTCCCTGAAAAGGGACAATGTTTGGGTGATTTCCGCCCGACTTGATGATGAGTGGGCACAGTTGTCTTTGGGCAATACTGCCCGTCGGGAGAGGGAGGGAGGGAGGGAGGGGAGGATGTATGACTGGGTAAGGCCAGGGTTCAGGGATCCTGTACCCCAGAACAGGTTCACGAAGTTTGGGGCGTGGAGGGGGGGTCGACGTGGGGGCCTCAGGTTCTTCCCCCAATTTCAGGGCCCTTTCAGGGGATCCCTGGGTGTTGTGCTTCTCCAGGCTACCCCCCAAAGTTGTGGTTGTCCTTTCGGTGTCCCTTTCAACCGCCAAGAATCAGGTTATGTGCCAAGCCTCGCCCTTTTCGTTGCTGAAAGCAGCACCCAAATCTTCGGTCACAGGGTTCTGTTTTTGACCCCAAGGTCGACGTAAACCCAGGGGTTTCCCTTTTGGAGAAACCAAGCACTGGGTTTAAGTCGTCTTTTAGTCAAAAAACTGGAGCCCTGTTCGGTGAGACCTTCGCCAGGACGAAGTCAGGGCTTGGATGCCGCCTGAGGAGCTCGTGGAGTCCAACCTGCAGAAGGCCGCGAATTGCGCTTCGCGCTGCGCGGGCCACCGGGGTCGCGCTTCGCGGATCCCAGTCGTTTGCGGATCCCGTCTCGCGATGTTTGGATTGATGCGGTTTAGGGTAGCTGAACTCTTCCAAGACCTCTTGAACTCATGAGTTGCTGGTTTTTGTGGTACCCCCAACCCCCCCCCATTCGATTGACGTAGGCCCTTAAATGGTACACCCACGGAGGGTTGGGCCATGTTGGGCCGCGCCGGAGGCAGCCATTTTTGGTCGAGGTCTCAAAAAGTTAGCCTTGTATGCCTGGGTCCTTTGGGCAAGCTGAGTACTAATTTCTCAAACCCAAAAAGGTTCCAAAACTTGTTCGGCTGAGAATTCAAGGTGTTTGCTCCAGAAGTGATTCAGATTCCGTGAAACTTGGACCTGAAACAAAACCACGGGCTATTTTTGAAGATTGACGATTTCTCAGATTGAAACCCGAAAGTGGGCGGTCCTTTGCTTGTTTTGCAACCACATTTGTGGGCACACACAAAAAAACGACGTCGTTCCTCTCGGAAGCGATGCAGGAGTACTATTACTATGGGAGGCGTCCCGTGTTGCTGCATTTTGAAGCCTTTTTTTGACGTGAAGCTCGGCATGAGCAGGGCCATTTGAAAGAGAACTGGACCTGACCATCATAGGATACGCAAGCTCACTTGCCCAAAGCTGACCTGAGCCTTTGGTTTCCCCACGTCGGTTTAGTGGACAGTGGAATGGTTGTCCTGCACGGATATGTGCGGAACTGAATATGCCTTCTGCACAGACACAAGGTCCAAAAGGAAACTCGTCGTCCCCCGGCTGTCTGCGCTGCAAACCATAACTTAGATCAAGATCTTTCGCCCACACATCATTCTCTTTTTGTTGGCTTTGTTTGTGTGTAGTGCCTTGTTTTTGTTGCTTGCCTCGTCGAGTCTCTACAATTTGTGTGGTGCACATACCGCGCTCATTGGTTTGTTCACCCAATCCGGATTTTTCCCTAGACCTTTAGTGGTGCCCCCATGTTGTTTTTGTCGGAGAGGCTGATTTCTGCTAAACTCTGGCAACCAAAAAGGGGTGCCCTTCTTAGACTCAGTTGTCCAAAGCCGACCTTCTGACCTTTACTTGCGTTCAGTTTGACTCAAGGTCCCAAAAGGTGAACCTTTTATTTCCACGTCCTTTGGGTAACTTTGTTGCATGTTGCTTGGATGTCATGACATGTTTAAAACTTTTTGCCACACGAGTTTTGTTTCCATTCAACCCACCAAAGCTTATTCACTTCTAGCAGGGCTTCGCAGAAAGCCAGCCCCATGTCCAGTAATCAGCATGTCCTGAAAAAGAAACCTCCTGAAAAGAAAGCTTGCGCCTGCAAAAAAAGGAGTTCTGGAAAAAACTCCTGAAAGAAAAAGCAAGGTTCTTAGCTCGAGTCCTGCAAAACGGGGGAGAAAAACCAAAAAAAAACTCGCGCCGCGCCGCTCCTTCGCCGCCGCGCCCCTCTTCCTCGGAAGGCCTGGCAGCGCCTCGAGGAGGCCACCGCGCAGGTGGGGTCCGTCGGGTCCGTCGGTCCGTCGGGGCGTCGATGCGGCGTGCGGGGGGGGGGGGTCTTCCTCTTGACTTGACTTCCATTTGCTTATTGCTTAAGAAAATGCGGTGTGTGTTTTTTTTTGGGGGGGGGAGGGGGTCAAATATATATATATATATATATAGAGAGATGTATTTTTTGCGCTGGTTTTAAAGGGAATCTATCACAATTGGAGCTTCTTTTTTTCAGAGGGCTTAAGCAAATGGAAGTTTCCTTCACTGGGTCCCCCAGCGATTGGTGCCATTTCTCACTTCCCTTTTTTGGTAGGGGAGGACACCCCCCTACTAAAAGAGACAGAAACAAGTTGGTACACTTATTCTAACCTCTCTACTGGGGGACTTAGTGTATCTTGCTGGTGCTCAGGAGGAATGGAATCGCCCCTGTGAACGATTTGGCGTGCCTTCCTTTAAGGGAATCCCCTTCCAGGTCGGTTTCTCCTGGGAATGAGAAATGGAATCGCGCCTATAAGGAGTTTGTGGCTTCCTTTAAGGGAATCCCCTCCCGGGTCATTCGCAACACCCGGAAGCTCATTCCCTACTGAGCACCAGCAAGTTATGAAGGGAATATTATGTCACCATTGGACATAGCTCGTTTCTTGTTTGGCACAGGGCAAGTCAGCAAGCGGAGGAATCTCAAAAAATGGAGTGGTTAAAATCAGCCAAGCAAATAACAAGCAATGGGTGTGGCCTGCTTTTGCTTTGTGATCTCGAGGCCGGGTAAGGGAAGCCGGGAAGCACGTATACTTCCATTGCTTTTAAGACCAGCTCCAATGCATGCCCTGGAAGTCCTCGTAACCGCCGGGAACCCAAAGGCTTTCCGTTGTAGCAAGCCAGGGGATGATCAGCCTGGGATTCTTTCCAGAAACCGCTCAAAAAACCCAAGGGACACACCGGATGATTGAAATGCATCTGTCAGTTTGTTGCTGCGAAGCAGCACCCCTTTTTTGAGGTCTGTCTTAAAGGGACACCCAAAAGCAAGACCGTTGCGCCATGCCTTTTGCTTATTTATGTATTTATTTATTTGGGGGGGGACCCTAAAAACGACGTGTTGCTGGGTCGGGGATAACTACCCTAAGAAAATACGAGGCACCCGGGTTGGAATCCACCCCAAGAAGTCCTTGGTTTACATGCTTGTTGTTGGGAACATTTCGCATGTTGGCCTATTTTTGTTTAGTGGTTGGAATCCAACCACTTATCTGCTAAAATTCATTTTTTTGTTTTTACATGTTTGCTTCTTGTGGTTTAATGGGAAATCCTCCTTAACTGCTGGAATTCAATTGTGTGTTCCGACGCCAACCAAGTTTTTTTTGTTGTTGGGTGGGGCGGGGGGTTCCTTAAGAAAAGACCGGGTGGGGGATGGCTATCCAAAACAAAGACGAGCCACCCGGGTTGGAATCCACCCCAAGAAGTCCTTAGTTTACATGCTTGTTCTTGGGACACATCTTACATTTTTGCTTATTGTGGTTTAGTGGTTGGAATCCAACCACTTGGGTATGGGTCAAAATCAAACCACCATGGCACCGCAGGTAGTCCTTTCCATTCACTCGGGTTGGAATCAACTGCAGGAAGTCCTCTACCCAGGTAGAGGAAGGCCTACTCCAAGCTCCTGCGGAGTGGCAGAAGCTGCGAGACATGGGCCTCGCCGCCTTCTGCGCGGACGCGCAGGCGGGGTCTTTTTCGGGTCTCGGTGCGGGGGTGGCCCGGCAATCGCCGCGGGGGCCGTCCGAGCGTGGCAGGCTGGGTCAAGCATTTTCCTGGGGGTTGATGTGCTCATCATGTTTTTTAACAGGAGATCCAGCTGGGGGAACCACTATTTTCCTGGAGGTCGAACCAAAATCCGAAACTGGGGTTGTTTAGGGGGTTGCTTCGACCAAAGGATGAGGTGAGGTCAGGGTTGGGGCTCATGCGTGGAGTTCAAAGTAAACCTTGGCATGTTGGACCAAGCAATAGAGAACAAGCAGAGCAAGTACTTGGTTTGGGATGCACTGATGGGTTGGCCCAAAGCGCACAGGGTTGTGGGCGCAAATACGGGGTTGTGTTTCACTTTTGCCATGTTGGGGAGCCTGCCATTTGAATGTTGCCTTTGTGACTGCCACGCCCAACAAGCAGAATCACATGTCATTTCCTGTTCTCAACTGGATGCTGAATAGATTGATCCCAGAAAAGCTATGGCAGGGAAGGCGATCATCATGGGCGTCCTGGGCATTCCCAGGGTATGCTCTGGCTCACCCTACACTGCTCATACTTGCTGAAATCCTCCCATTGGACGCCACAAGGGATAGGCATTCCACTTTTGAGGTGGCGTTTGTTCTCACCCAGAAAATCACAACACTTACATGCTGATGTGTTTGTTTGCTGCTTTGTTCAATGGCTCGAAACAGGAGAGACTTCAAATGTGTTGAAGGTGCTGCGATTTGAGAACCGGGACGCACAAAGCCAGTCGTTCTCAAAATGGGTCTTGAAACCAGAATTCTTCGTCTCAAGTGTAAGCTTTCGGCTCGGCCTTTGAAGGGTCGCTCGATTCTTATGGGTTTCCTGTGGGCTCCTTTCCTGCCAAGAGGTGCCTGCACTAGTTATGTTTGTGTACGGGTTTTTCGCCCTGTTGATTCTGTTCATTTCTGGTCAGCTGCGGGGAACAATGGACTTTTGGGCAAGACGGGCGGAGACGCTCGTCCCATAGCAACCCTCAGCTCCAAGGCGTCACCAAGTTTCCGCAGGGCAAGACAGAAACAAAAACAACAGCGCAAGTTTGTATTGGCTATTTAGGGGCCATCTTGCTTATAACCTTGAGCCCATGGTGGGGGGGGGGGGGGTAGCAAAAACTCGCCTAGGGCGGTCCCAGATTACATACTCGGCGCTAAATACTTGAAAGACATACCTCCAATGTTGGAGGGAATTTGATTGAATCATTTCGACCCTCAGGCTTGTGATTCAACTGGGTGATGCTGCAGTCCTTCCCCCTGCCTTTTGCGGTCGAAGGGGTGGCAAGAGGACCACCCCGTTGAATTCTTCGAGTTCAAGGGTCGGAGGGTGCCCTTGCGAGGCGCGGTTCCATGAGTGGCGCGCCTCACGGGAGCAAGAGGCTGAGGAGGAGCCAGAGGAAGAGGCGCGGGGAACAGCCTACTGCATCGTAAACCTTGGTGGTTCCTAGCCATCCCCTTAGCCTTTCAGCTTTTTAGTGTTTAGTGGTTGGTTTTCCATTTGGCCCACTAAAAGTTAAGCTTTTAGCGGGGGATCTGAGGGCAGCCCAGAATCGGTTACCCTCTTTACCATAAAACGGATCGCGCACGGAGCATGAACCGGGAGGTTTCGATGCAGCCAGTTGGCATGTTCGAGGCACCATCCGAATTTGAAGAACATGGAGATGCACTGTCCGGCTTTAAAAGCGCAGAAACCCGATAATATCTAGGGAAGTGCTTTGAATGAAGCTGTGCGCGACTCTGAAAGTGAAGGTTCATAGGTTCATAACCCTGACTGTCACGTGGTGAAGGTGTTATTTAGTTTTGCCGTCCGCACCCCCCAAAAAATACACGGGTTGGGGGGGTATCATCAATCAAGGGGCCCCTCTCCACAGGGTTTCCCTTTTGCAGGTGTTTCCGGGCAACAATGTATGGAAGGCCCCTAGTTCCCAGTTAGGAGCCCAAGCGGTTTGGTTTTGCTCTTTGATGTTTAACTCACTTGTTCAAAGCGAATCGACCTTTTGACCTTTTGGTTTTCCCCATGTTTGGTCCATTTTTAGTAGAGGCCCCCAGAAGGTGATCACCTTTTAGTTCCAGGTCCTTTGGGCAAGTGAGTCAAGGTGTGCAAACCGTTAGGAGCCCGCCGTGAACGAGCGGCGGAAGAAGACGGCCTCCATCGCGAACAAGATCAAGGGCCTGAAAGCCGAGCGCCGCTCGTCTGTGCAGCCGAGGGATCTCTCGGGCCCTGACGTGTTTTTGGGCATTTTGGTGACACATGGGCTGCGGGTCAAACGCAATGGTACCATTTTGAGGTAGGTGTACCACCCATTTTAGAACCTATTTTAGTGGGGGTTGGGATATTCACCGGGGCTACGGGATTTTGACCCATGGCCAAATAGCCCATAGTTTTTTTTTGGGGGGCAAAAGGGCACCACAAGGGCGATGGTATGTCGTGGGAAGTTTCCCGACCACTATTTAACGCTCAGCCAAGGGTTATTCAGGCCAAGGCGCCATGGGCTGGAATCCTGCATGGTCCCGTGAGAAATATATGGCAGGCTTCAAGTCTAATCAACAACACTCTCATTGAAGACAAAAGCGCCCTTTGGATTCTTCACTGCGGGAAACAGGCTCAACTGGGAGTAAGCGTGTATCTCAATTCGGCCAGCGGATTGTTTTCTTGTGGCCGCTTTTTGAATCCATCTTCACCATGTGTCCCTCCTACGTCGCGGACATACCCAGGACAGTTTCTCCAGAAGTTGCATTGGCCTAACCGAAGCAAAATGTGAGGTGTTGCGTGCTTGCTTATGTTTTAGACGCGTGTCACAGGAAATTCATGAGCGACTCACTCACTTGTCCAAAGCTGACCATCCCCACATTCCATGTCCAGGCGCGATTAAAAAAAGCTGTCCTGTGCTTCTTGTGAGTCCTCTTTGGCTTTCGGCAAAGGGCAACCGCGCCCTTATGCGCCCTTTCGGATAACCCGGACGATTCAAATCTGCCGCGGCCCGCTCCCCAGAATGGTTCCCTCCGTGTCACGAACTGCTGAATTGGTGGTTTGGATTCCAGGCGACGCGGCCGCCGCCACCGCCGCCGCAGAGAACGGGCGCACGGCCCGCGCCAAAGGCCGCAGGCGCGCGAAGTGACGGCCGCTGGGCGGCGAAAAGCGGCGGAGCGGCCGCGGGGCGCTGAGCGAACGCCGTGGCTTGCGGGTTTGCATGGGTTTGCCTTCTCCGCGACGAGCTCCCTTTTGCCTCAAGATGCCGGAAGGATGCTGGTGCCAGGTAGGGAATGGTTTCAGTCACTTTTCGGGTATACCCAGACCGGTTGGATTACGCACGCATCTCCAATTGCGGCCAACAGCGGGAACTGTAACTGCTGATTCAGGCAAGCCGTTTGACGCTTCCTAGCACAAAATTAGCTAGCGGCACGCGTCAGCCAACTGGTCACTAGAGTCTGTCATGCTGGCTGATGCCAATGACTCCATTTTTGTGTTTACCTTGTTCCAGTACACAAGTCTCTGGGCACTGCAATCCTAAACAAAAGGGTTGCTTGGTGGGTCATGTCGAACAGACGCATGAGCAGACGCACCATATCTGCGGGCCCCCAATTTGCCCTGAGCCCCGAGCTCACGGCTCGCACGACCTCAAGCTGACGTGGGCCCAAAGAAGGCCTCGCAGACATGCCGCGGCCCTCGGGAAGCCGAGACTTCTGCAAGAAGTTCCTATGCTCTGCCAGCGTCACAGCATGCATGCTGATGCTTCTCAGGACCCGCTGATCCGACTCACGTGTTTGGGGGTCCCCCCTTCTTCCCGGACCAGGCCCCAACTCCAACTCGCGGAGCTTTCTGCGCCGGGCTTGGCCGCTTCTTGGCCAGGACTTTCCGGATGTCCAACCCAACAGCTCTCGGCGGTCGCGAGCTCGCGGACGAGGCGAGGCGAAAACAGATCTGGGCTTAATGGCTGAATCGAGTCAAACACACTGAAAAGCGGTGAACTTCCCATGGCTTCCTCACGTTCTTGCACATGAAACGTCATTTTTTAGAGGAGTCTCCTTTGCGGGCGCCTTCTTTTTAGGGTCTCATGTCTAGGGGGGGAGGGGGGGAGGGGGAGGGGGCGGCCGACCTAGAAACATGGAAGTGTTATGTTGTTGCAACTCAATCACCTTTTTTTGAGGAATGCTGAAAAAACCATACTGAAAAGCGGTTAACTACCTTCCCACCTACAAACATTGTTAACATGGAAGCGCCGAGGCTCCCTCATGTTGTTGCACATGCAGCGGCAGCGTCATTTTTTAGAGGAATCTCTTTTGGAGCCTTTTTTTAGGGTCTCCTATTTGCCGTGCACTTGTTATGTTTGTTTAGGGCTGGCACCAAAATAGAAGTGTAATATGGATCGCGTAGGTAAGGCTCCATTCGAGGGATGATGTGTGAAGACAGGATGGTCTCAGAAAACATTCACACCCACAGTTGCACGCCATGGTTAGAACAGACATCGTCAACACCATATAGTAGCGATTTCGGGCAACTATAAGACTACAAGCGTTCCAAACAAGTGAGCCCACACAACAAAGCGCAAATATGAGCGCGACGGGTATCCCAACATAGCAGCCCCTTTTGGGCGTTTTCCAAGCATAAACCAAAAGCCACAAGCAATTCAGGACACGCGCAGGTGGAGTGTCACTCTTGGCCGTGGCATTTTGGTTTGGCTTAGCATCATTTTCTTCCTTTGGGGTTGCAGGCCCCATGTTGACAACCTTAAGAGTTCATGATCCAGTTGATTGATCGCGATTCTAACGACATCTAAGGACCCTTAGGTTCGATACTGCGGGCGTTACCCTGAAACTAATGAGGCCAAAGCGCAAGAATCTAGGGACAACAGTTAAACTTGGTGTTCAATTTGTGTTTGATTTGTCTTTCTCACTCCCTGAGTTCCTGGACTTTATGCATTTTAGGCAGGTCAAAAATCAAAAGTTCCAACTTTGGCCAATCCACTGGAGCGGAAGTGACACTTTCGAAGCCCGCCAGGAGTTTCAGCCAGTTCCGCCAAAGTTTGCGGAGATCGACGCGGAGCCCGCCGGACCGCCCTGGGCTTTGCCAGCGCCGGCGCCGCAGCCGGCACCGGCCCCGGCTTCCGCGCCGACGCCGGTGGCGAATGAGGAGGTTGCAGGAGAGAGCCGCTGAGATGAGAATCTCCGCTGGTGAGTTGAAAAGGCCGCCAACCATTTTTAGGGGTTCCATATTTCGGGAACCACCCTGCATGTCAGCTGCGATCTTGGGGGTGGTGGCAAAATGCGGTCGCATTTTGAAATGAGCTTAGATGGCGGCCGCTTGGAATTCACATTTCGATTGGTCGCTGGATCCCCTTCGGGAAAGATGCAGAAATCCGTTTTGAGCGGCTAACTGGATTTCGGCCGTTTGGCAGACTTCTTGTGCCTTTGGGTCTTGTTCCGTTTAAGCAGAGCTGGATTTTGGCCGTGGCAAGCCTCTTGCATCAGTGACCCCCAGCGTTCTCATCACTTGACATGGTGTTTCTGTTTCTGTTTGTTTGGTTCTGTTCAATCATTGGTGGGCTGCAAAGGCGTTTTGCCCACCACGGGTTCAGCCAGCGACTGGCGACTGGGCAACTGGAGGCTACAACGGCCACTTCCTGCACCGGCGTAGTGCAAAGAAGCCGGGCTGCCGGGGCTGCTGTAACCTGGAGGACAAGGCCTGGGCGTGGAGGTCGCCTTTCTGTGAAGGCCGATGGGTTGAATTTTCGGACCCCTTGACAATAAAGGCCTTGCACGCAGCTGTTGTTGTTTTTTGTGTGTGTGTTGTTTTTGAGGCTTCCTTTTTCAGCTTGGCTTGAAGAGAAACCAACGGAAAACCCCACCCTGGTTGGGAGTCCCCCTTTATTAACCCATGCAGGGTTGGTTGTCTCTGGCGTGAACTAGGTATTGATTACTCCTGGCCACGTAACTAGAAGGCAAACCACATGAGCAGCAGCGGATATAAATTGATATGTTTTTTGGTTGGGCCCCGCTTGGCGGACATCATTGCGGTTATTTCCACTAGCCATTTTGGAAGGCCCCATCCAAAATCATACTGTGGTTGGACGACATCCTGCACCACCGAATCAAGCCTGGAATGATGATTCTCCTGTAAATGCCAACAAACAATGGTTGCCGTTGGCTTCAAAGTGGTGCAGGATTTTGTCCATGCACAGTATGATACATCAGGGGTACATGGGGCTGCCTGGAGCCCCAGTGGGCCCGAAACCTCGTCGTTTCCGCTCAGATTGTGGACTGCTTAGATGTGGAGATTCCTGGCGGATGGTTTCAGGGGCCCGCGGGCACACTGTGGATGGTTGCGAAATCCTCTTAGGCACCACCTAAAAAGACCTGGCGTGACGCTTCCCCTGCAATGTTAGACCTCCTTTAGCAATAGTACCCTCCATTGTACATTATTTTTTCTAATTCAGGATTGTTTGACTGCTTTAAGGGTCCTTTATTATGGAAAGTTTTTTTTGCCGCAAACAACGCTGGGAAAATATGGGCAACAAAACTTGGCAAACAAGTGGAGCAAAAAAACGGGCAATCAAATCCTGGCAAACATTGGGAAAATCCTTTTCTTGAAGTGGTCCCCAAACCATCAAATTTAAAATAACATCTGTACAAAAGTGCGCGCAAACAGTCAAACAAAGGGAGGTGCCCACAAGAAGCCCAGATCCTCTTTAATGCGACTGTTTTGGGGTTCTCTTTAGTGTCCAACTGGTTTCGGGGTTGCTGAAAATTGAAAACCAAAGCCACAGCCTTTTTCTTTTAAAGAAGGGGACTCATCCTAACTCTCCCCAGCTCAAAGGTTAAAGGCCTGAGATCTAGGAAATCGTTTTTGCAAGTTGTTCCCAAACCATCAAATTTAAGGTAACTTCCTTACACAAAAAAGTGCGGGCAAATAGTCACACAAAGGGGGGGTGCCCACAAGAGGCCCAGATCCTCTTTAAATGCGACTGTCTTGGGGTCCTCTTTAGTGTCCAACTGGTTTTGGGGGTTGCTGAAAAAACGATCCTTGGCAATACTAAAGTAGAATTGCCAATACTAAAGTAATTACTGGGGATCTGAGAGTCAGCCTTGGCAATACTAAAGTAGAATTGGCAATGCTAAAGTAAGTACTGGGAAGCTGAGAGTCAGCCTTGGCAATATTAAAGTAGAATTGGCAATACTAAAGTAAGTACTGGGGATCTGAGAGTCAGCCTTGGCAATACTAAAGTAGAATTGACAATGCTAAAGTAAGTACTGGAAATCTGAGAGGGAGCTTTGGCAATACTAAAGTAGAATTGGCAATACTAAAGTAAGTACTGCCCCTCCCAGACCCCCAGGATTTCACTAAAGAGAGTCCCGCCGACTGGTTCCACTGTTCAGGGGGGGTCACATTAAAGAGAGTCCAACATTAAATGCCAACAAACAATGGTTTGCTATGGTTTCAAGGTGGTGGTGCAGGATTTCGTCCACAGTAGGGAGCTTGTGATGGCTTCGGTCCTTTGGTTTCTGGATGGTTTCGGGCATTTGGCAGATGCTGCTTGGCGTGTTGGCCAATCTGAAGTAGGCGGTGTAGGTTAGAAAAGAATGGGAGCTACGGTGGGCGCCCTAAATATATTGCAAGTAGAGATTGCTGGGAGGCCCTGTAAATTCCAATGGTTTGTGCTTGGTTTACTTGCAGTATTTAGGGTATCCACCGTATATTCCGGCCTGAACGGAATTTAAGAATCTCAAGGGGAAGGCGACAAGTTAAACATGTCGCCAAGCCATCCCACTATACCGGAACATGGCAACAGGGAAGAGCTATGTGAGGCTAGTGGATCGGCGACACGTCAAGTCATCTTCCCACTTGTTTAGCTAGAAGGCTAGGACAATATGCTTGAGGTCGAACGACCTATTGTTCTGAAGCACGGGGAGATGTCATGTAAACAACTGCTCTTGCTACCTGAATCGGTTTTGAGGGGGGCTGAAAAGACCCCGTTGCAAAGGGTTGCATACATCATATATTGTACTTCCCCTCTGGGTTGAACGCCTGGGCCATTTCAAAGGCGAGTTTTGTTTAGGTGCGCTGCATTTTTGGGCATGGGATTTTCGCCTTTCCATCTGAGGAAGTGCGCCCAAAGCGGCCCGGAGAATGGAAAGTACGCGCTGGTCTTGAGCCATTGGGGCGTTCCCAGCGAGGGCATGCTGCAATCCATCCCCTCCATGAAGGCCGGGGAAAACCGATTCGGCCCGCTAACGGGCTCGATTCGATTCGACCCCGGAAACCGAGAAAGGAGGTGGAGATTCGGCCCCGTGTTTTTTAGGGTAAATTACAAGGAGGTGGTTTGAACGATGGTGGTTTAAACAGCTTGACTTGCAACAAGGGGGTTGGTCAACTGTGGTGTGGGGTGCTTTGTAAAGTGGCGTCTGTGGAATCCTGTTTTTGGATTATGTAATTCCACATGCAACATGTGGGCCAATATTTGCTGCTTCCGAATAAAGCAGAGGGTATGTTTTGCATATATGTGTTGGCTCACCCCAAGCCACGAATAGTTGAAGCCAGGTTTAGCAAATGACGTTGCGCGCTCCTATGGACAACAAGTCACTTTGTTGCCAATCCAATCCGAAATCCCTTCATGCCTGTATATGTGGTTGTCCAACTGTAAGAGAGGCTCCCACACGCTTCCTCTCGTCGCTTCTTGCTTCTCATCGGCCCGTTAGTTGGGGCAATGACCGGTCATTGCAGGTGCCTTTTTGCCGCTGCATAAAACATCCTCATGGTCAATCTGTGCAGCTTGTCCTTTGGGTTGGTGTGGGACATATGAAGCAACCTGTGGGGGATGGGTCACGGAAAGCGAGTGAAGCCTTAGCTTGTTCACACAGATCCAATCTGAACCAGCGCACTGACTAATGAGCTTCCCTTCATTTGGGTCCTTTTCTTGTGATCAAGAAGCCGTACCATACAAGTGCCCCCGGCCAATAGTGTGAAATCAGTGTCAAGCAAAGCATTGCAAGGTCTTACAGGCTCCTTTGCGGGCCTCTTTTGCCAGGATTGCACGATGGGGGGGGGGCCTGAATAAACATTATCGTGGCTTTTGTAGATTCATCGTGAAAGCGGGACTCGCAGTTGAAACGGGCCGACAAGTTGTTCAGCTTTAGCCAGTCAACTCGACTCAGCGAAAGCTATATTTTTGTAGGCAGCGGCCTTGGCGGCAAATAACGCCGACATCTTGCTGATCATGCTCCAGAAAGATGCGGACAGGAGACATCCCTTGGCACCAACTGGATGATTGAAATCAAGGGCAACCCGTTGTTATATACATTGTTGGTCAGGTGCCCTAGCCCCCAGCGCGCGGCTCTTGAAGAAACGCAGGTTTCAAGAAGTAGGGGACCCGCGTTTTGATTCGGGGTGGTGAAGCAAGGCAGCTAAAGACCAGGAGTCAGCATGCCTGGGAGGGGCTTCCTTTTTGGGAAACTCTCGTTGGTTTATTTGTGTTCTTGCGTGCTGGTGTGCTTATGTGCTTGTGAGCTTGTGTATGTGCATGTGCGCCTGTGCCGGTGTGCACGAGCCTTTGCTTCCTTGTGGGACCAGCTGGGCTTAATCTCCAAGGGCAACCTGATGTTGTCACTTGAATGTTTGTTCTGCCCAGTTTGCTCAGGTCAATATTCACTGCGATCCAATGGCAGCAGAAGGCTGAACTTGGGGCGCACACCCAACTTAACCACTAGAAAAATGCCCGTCACGAACCCGCATCCAATGGTCACATCCAAAGCTGCAACCTCAGAATCGATTGAAAAGAAGCCCGTGGAGCGTTTATTTTTCTTCCAGGGGTGGTGTGATTTCTAAACCATATGAAATGAACATGTTTGTATTCCCCTGTTGGTTTTAAAGGGACATCACCATCGGAAGCATGTGTTTCAGTTGTTTTATTTCCCAGGGAGCTTAATTAAATGGAGAATTTGGATGTTCTGAAAGTAGCTCAAGTCTAAAGTTGGCCTGGGTTTCGTTTCGAGGATCTCGCCAAAGATACAGAAGCTGCTGGACAAGCCGCCCGGACTAAACTCGGATTCTAAACTTTGGGGAGGCCGCTCCGGCCTGGTCTTTTCTTTTCCTTTGGAATCCAACCGAAACGGAATTGCTGTAGCGGGTCAAGCTTTTAGCACGGTCAGTAAGGCCAGGGCCAAGCCAATTAGCTTGAAGCAAGTGGCTCGGGTTGATAGGATTCATGCGTGTGAAGGCGCAAGGTGGTTTAACTTTGCAGCTGCGACGTCCACGGGAACATGCCAAGCTCACACAGGACGAATCATCCCTTTAAAGGGTGCGATCACCCGAAACATGTCCACACTTGCAAGCAAACCCTGGCTTGTTTTTTTGTGTGTGAGGTGATGTATCAAATCGGGAAATAAGAGCGGAACACCTGTTGTTGTTCCTTGGTTTTGTGGGGTTCCTTTATTTCCCTTGATTGTTTGGGAGGTAAATCCTCGACAGGACTATGGCGTCTCACTGAGAAGGAAGCAAGCACTAGCATGTACATTTGCGTGTGTACATTATACGCTGGGTTGTTCGAAATACTCCTTAATTCTTATGTTAGATGGCGGTGGCGTCCCACGGAATACATGTTAGTATTCGCGCCCGCAGATAAATGAAGAGCACATACCTTATGGTGGTGGGTTGGGTTGTTGACCTTCAATTTGCGGGAAAATGTGTGGTTCCCCTAGTAATCTCTTTGGTGCATTTTGCTTGGATGTTAGGACTTTAACTTTTTGCCAACTAATGGGTTTTCCATTAAACCACTAAAAGTTAAAGTTTTAGCAGGGGAGCAGAAAGCAACCGAGTTCTGTTTGCACAGGGAGAAGCGGTATCATCATTTTGACTGTTGCTGGGGATTATCAAAGTCAGAAGCTGGGGTGGTGTCCCTTTAACCTACCGCTCGGGGGTGACTTTGATAGTGGTGAAGGGGAAGGGTTTGTCTCTGAATAAGGCACCCCCCCAAAAAAAGAAGAAGAAGAAGGTTTATTCTTGGTTTCCCTTTAAAAAAACAGACACACCCAATATGTCACACTTGCGCAGAGGAGTAGCCACAAGAATGCAGCTTTCTTCTTGGTTGCTGTTGCCCCCCTGCAAACAGTTTTTCACTTTTGGGGGGAGTTTAGTGGAAACCCCAACTTGATTTTCACGAAAAAGTAAAAGTCTAAGATCCAAGCCAATAGCAGTCAAGTCTTCCCAGGTGGACGGTGAAGGTGCGAGTGGTGCCCTGGGATGTGCCCACGCGCTCGATCTTCAACCCGAAGCACGACTGGTGCGCCCCGCATGGATCAAGGAGTTGCAAAATGTCCATGCAATCGCTCAGTTGCAACCAGTTTGGACCCAGAAATGAAATTCTGAAAGCGAAGCTTTTGGGGCCATTGACTAAAAATGTACAAACAGATGTGCAGGACGACCTTCCGAACCCGGCTCCACGTGAAAGAGCTACCCCTGATCTTGAGTGCTGATTGGGTTGGATCTTTAGACTTTAACTTTTTGGCAGATCAAGCGCTTTTCAACATTTTTTGAGCTTTTTGCAGAGAGGTCAACAGCAAGCAAGTGATATAGACCCTTGCTATACTCAGTTCAAGCTCCGAAACCCATCGTGCTTGAGACCTATAGCCTATAGGCTTGGAGCAGGGTCATCTTTGGCCAACACCCCTTCTTCGTGGACCCGAAGAAAAACTACCCCCCCCACCAGTTCAATATGGAACCCGCACAAGCGCAACTTCTTGAGGAAGCTCCATTTGCAGATGGAGGTGGCCGTGCGTCTTTTTCTGGTTTGCAAGGGCAACCTAAACACCGGGCCTCCGTTCCGAGTCTCGAGTGCCTTTTCCGTGCCCCGGGCCGTTCCGTGTCCTCACCAGAAAGCATCCCAAGGCCCTTTGGGGCAATGTCCATCATCAGAACATGGAAAATTGAAGTGGGGTCATTTGGATGGAGTCCTTTTGCACCTGTGGTTCCAACCGTGAAAGCAACGGGGGTTAGTATGACTACCATTGTTTGCCCAATAAGCTCATCAGCATATGGCTCCCAAGGCCATTGTTGGATACTTTTGGGGTTTCTGCACCCCAAGTTCCATGAATTCCCCCTCTGCCATTTGCTAAAGAATATTGTTATTTTCCCTTGTTGGTGTTCAAAGGAATTTATCACTACTGGCCATATGTATTTATTTGTTTCCGGGGCTCTTCACTGAAGCTCTGAGGCGGTCACCAGGACCTGATCCGCTTGCACGTGGTGGGCCTGGAGGGCTACGACGCGGTGGCCTACTACGACGCGGACTGCGAGTTCCAGGGGGACGTGCTGCCGGTGCTGCGCTGCGCCGCCTCAGGCGGGAGGCTGAGGTTTTCCCTTTCCTTTCCCGGTCCCCGATGCGAAAAAGACACCCCAAAGAGCTCTTTCCATTTGCTGAAAGAAATATGCTTTTTGTTTGTTTGTTTTTCCTGTTGGGTTTAAAGGGAACCTATCACTATTGGACATATGTTTTTTACTTTTTTTAGGGGGCGAAAAAGCAAATGGCAGAGCTGGATCTTGGATCTGGTTTTTCAGGCCACCTCCGCGTTTCCCCCCCCCCCCCCGACTAATTGCGCCCAAACTGCCAAACTGCTTGAGATCTTGTTGCCCACCTGTGCCCCCCTGCTGCCCCACGTCTCGCGCCCACACTGCTTGAGGCATGTTCCTGAGCACCAACGGCGGGGTGGGGGAGAGTCTGAACATCGGCTTCATCGCCTTGCGCCCGGACCGGCGCCTGCTGGACGCGGCGCTTTTCTTCGCGCAGAACAACAACTTCACCGTGAAGGATGGCTGGGGACACACAGGCGCTGTGCGCCGCGCCTGGCGAGCCATCCTTTTACCCTTTGCTTTTTCTTTTTTTGGGGTTCCCTTACGAAAATAGACTCCAGAAAAAAAGTACCCTTATTCTAAGCTCTCTACTGGAGGACGTAGCTCAACTGTTCGAGGGAATGCCTTCCTTTGCAAAAAGCTTGGGGACCTGGCTGGTAACGTCGGGTGGCAACCCGTGGTCCGAATGATGAAATCAGCCTGGAAAATGGGCAAAAAGGGTTCTTTAGGTAAAGGGAGTGGGTTGCCATACGTGGAAAGCTTTCCCGGTGGCCTACCTAGTTTTTGTCTTCCACAGCGCCCGCATTGCTTTGACCAAAAGAGAAAACAAAGGTAGAATTACGGCAGTGGCTCCTTTTGAGATCTGTGGGGTTCCGAGCCAGTCCGAAACGAAACCCGGTCCTTTGTCTTGTTTTTCTTCCAAGGATCAACTAACTACCCTTGTGGCTGATGAGAACGCTGACTTGAACACGCAGTCTGCTTGCTTCAGATGATTGCACAAGAGTTTCTCACGTTGGCGATCAACTTAGGGAGGGTCTCGGATGGCCTTGGCTTATACACACGCATCAGAGCTGGTCTCAGCCAAAACGACAAATTTAGACCGTTCGCTTGGGGCAAACTCTGGCTGACTTGCAAGGGGTTGGAAATGGAGTGGTGGACGCGAAGGGTAAAGAAAGACATGGGTCGCCATTCCTTTCCCCTTTCTTGGCACGGGGATTTCTGCCAAGGGCAGGAAGCGTTTGAAAGCTTCAAGAAGTAAAAGCCTTGGGAGCCTGCTTCTTTGTTGACTTCTTTGGTCATGTGGCTGTGGGTCAAAACCGTTTTGGGATCCCATTTTGGGGTAGGTGAATTCACCACCCATTTTAGAACCTATTTTAGTGGTTGGATTGGGTCCCGTTCACTGGGGGCTAACCGGGCTTTGGATTTTGACCCATGGCCATGTGATGCCTTCTGTCTCGACGCGTGCCGTGCAGGCTGGAAGCCCTGCGGTGGCTACTTTGTGGGCGGGGAGTGCGGCCAGGGCTTCTTCTACAGTGGCCTCGCCTGGATTCGGCCGGCTCTGCGTGGTTTTTGGAAGGAGCACGCAATGCACTAGGTCCCCCAAGCTAGGTGCCCTTTTTTACCGTTTCCTTTTTGGGTGGGAGGGTTCCCCTACTGAAATAGGCTACAGAAAAAAGGGTACCCTTATTCTAACCGCTCTACTGGAGGACCTAGTGCATTTGTATGGCCAATCCCTTAAGCGGTGTGCTAGAATACATGGTTGTGCACCCTTTAAAGTTATGTATCCAGCTTGTATTTGGCCCTTTGTTGTAGATGCGCCTTTTTCTCGGGGCGCTTTTCTTGCGGCACTTGGGACCGGGAGATCATGGGCTAGGCGGTCCTTTCCGGGGGAGTTTCGAGAAGCAGGGGCCAGAAGCGACTTCACATGGACCCGAAACCGGCTCAGGAAACTCTGAAAGCCTATCTTTTGGATCAAAAACAAATCCCAGAGGACGACCAAAGCGGATAGCCAAACCACCAGGTCACTATGGAGGATGCTTATGTGAACTCGACTGTGAGCGGCATCAGGTTGGCAACAAGCTGGTCCTGTGAGGGTCCCCCATACCTGGCGGTTCCATCATCCACCAGGGCCGTCTATTTTGTAAAAAGGACACCTATGATCATTGGTCTCCATCTTGCACATTGCGCAGGGCACGATTGTAGAAAAAGCAGCGTCTGCGGATTGTCCTAGGGCTTCGGCGTTCTGCCCGAGCAACTGCTGTGTTGTGAGGGATCTGTTTTGCAGTGGCATGTCCTTGTGTAAAATCCGCGTTCCAAGAACTTTGGGTTGGTGAAACGTATCAAAGGGGGCTCATGATTTGTAGTGAAAAATGGCATGAGAAGCCCTGTCGGCTTTCAAAGGCTAAGAAGGTAAGGGGCCCTCGAAACATGTGTGTGAGGTACAAACGCTGAGCATCCCAACACTTAAGTTAGCAACATGATTATTTACAGCGGCAGTCACCTAGAACTCGAAAGAGCAACCACAACCTTCTCGCTGCGGGAACGAGGAAGTTGGCCGTTGGCCTCGCGTTGGGGGCAATTCTTGGGGGGTCTAACCTATGGCCTTCGAGTAGCATCCCCGCTGAGCAGGGACCCTAGCTTGGTCCCCCAGTAGTGCCCTTTACCCTTTTTCGGGGGAGGGTTCCCTACTAAAATAGACTACAGAAAAAGGGTATTCAAATTCTAAAAGCTCTACTGGAGCACCTGGCTAGGATGGTGACGTCAGCAATTGAGACACCCTCGCTTCGGAAGCAGACAATCCTTTGGTGCATTTTGCTTGGATGTTAGGACTTTGACTTTTTGCCAACTAATGGGTTTTCCATTAAACCACTGAAAGTTAAACTTTCAGCGGGGGAGCAGATTTCGCAACCGAGAATCCTCTCATTAAAGATGTCCAAAGACGAGAGAGGTGGATTCCCCGCCGTATTGCAAGCACACCAGCCGCAAACTATGGGGATTTCAGGGTTTCCCTTGTCCCTTCTTGTGTACGGAGCGACCATTTAAACATATAGGAGCCACCGTTCCCAGAATCCCGAATCCGAGCACAAGACGCAATCAAGCTTAAGCCCTTGCCAGCAGCTGATTCGTGCTTGCGCGTGCCGGAGCTGTGAGCTCTCCGGTCCTGCCTTCCAGCTCCCCGGCCCTCCAGCCCAAACATTTCAATATGTCCAGGCGAGGGCCGAAGGCAACTTTTCGTTGTCAAGTAACTCGAAGTACCTAATTACGTAGATCGGTGTTTTTTGGTTTGAATTGGTTGGCCGGGCCGGCGAAGAACCCTTGCGGAGGTAGTATAGGTTCCATGTTGGCTTATGTAAGTGTCCGCATTTTTGAGTGGCGATGCCGCACCGTGGAACACTTCAGTCCTTCAATCTTTGAGGCCAGCTGGCTGATTGAGGTCTCTACTACTCCAAAAGCGCGGCAGCAAAGAAGGCCTTGCAGGCCGCAGACGTCTGGGACAATGACGTGTTCCGGCCCGCGCAAATTGATCGATGCTTCTTGGCAACGAAGATTTGTGGTCAAAGACCCGTGAAGCGTTCGGCCCTCGCGGCTGTGTTTCCACACGCGCACACACTTGCGGAGTCTTGGTTACTTGGTAGGTCTTGCATTTGGTTACCCATATAACGGCAACCGTTTAGGGCTTGCTTTTTCCCCTTGGCCCTGGCATGTTGGCAAGTTTCCTTGTGCCCATACCTGCAGCAGTACGTGTTTTTTCCGCATTTTTCCTGAAGGGCTTCCCTTCCGAACTCCCAAAGTGGCCGTTGATTCGGGTGAGGCCTTTGGAACTACCAGACCAGCTACCAGTGCCGCCCAGACTTCGACTGTGAGCGGGTCCGCGTGCACCACAAGCCCACCCGGGAGCGGGGCACGGACAAGAACGAGCCCCTCAGATCCAGATACAGGAATTCAGCTAGATCCCGCAGTAGTGCCCTTTTACCAACTTTTTGGGGGGGAGGGTTCCCCTACTAACATGGACAACAGAAAAATTGGGTACCCTTATTCTAACTTCTCTACTGGAGGACCTAGACAGCCGACGTGGCACTGGATGTTCCTATTCACCAACTTGGTTACAAGTGGGTTGTAGTTTTAATGGTTATTTCTGGGAAAACTGAAGCTGGTTATTTTATACCCATGGCGCTCGCTCACTAGTAGCTTGATCATCCAAGAAGGCGGCGTGCACTAATAACCTGGATCTAAGTAGAACAGTTGTCCGAAGCCAACCTTTTGAGTCGGTTTCTCAATTCCCTGCCCATTTTCGGGCATGGCACCAAGCGGATTTTCAACCTTGTATGCCTGGGTTCTTTGGGCAGAGGACGGGGGCACCCCCTTGGGATGGGTCCCCCCCACCCCCCACCCCCCACCCAATCAAAAAAGAAACAAAGATAAAAACAAAGGAACACAACTCCCCCCCCTCCCCTCCCCCCCCCACCCCAACCCCCCGTCGAAGGTGCGAGAAGCTGAAGTTCCGGGAGCGGCGCAAAGAGATGGCCAGGACTCGCTCGATCGCCTGCGTGGGCTTGGGGCCTGGTTTGGGTTGGAAGGGTCTGGCCCTTTGGGTTGGTTCAAAGGGGGAACTGGGATAAACCACCCGCTTTTTGTTGCAAGCGTTCCCTGGTTTGAAACAAAGCGACCCATTTTCTGGGGTCTGGTTTGAAACAAAACCCACCTGAACCACTGGCGCCTTTCTTTGACGTTTGCTTTCTTGCCCAGGTTCACCGGGCCATTGGTTGGACTCCTTGGATAAAATTTTACCAGTAGAGCCGGCGAAGCCGGTGGGCGGAAGTTTCAAAAATATAATCACTCTAGTTGTGTGTCTCTTTCTTTTCTTTCTTCTTCTTCCTGTTCCCGGTTTCTCTTTGTTCCGTCATTCTGTGTGTCTTCCTTTCTTTCTTTCTTTCTCTCCTTCCTTCCGCCCTTCTTTTCTTTCGTTCTTTCTTTATTTATTTATTTATTTCTCTCTTTCTTTCTTTCGTTTTGCTTGTTTTTGCGTTCTTTCTTTTGTCTCTTCTCTATCTATGTATCTATTTGCCTACCTATGTATCTATCTCTCTTTGTGTCTATCTATCTCTCTTTGTATCTATCTAAATATCTGTCTATATATATTTCTATCAATCTGTCTACCTACCTATCTATCTTTCTATATCTCTATCTATCTATCTATCTATCTATCTATCCATCTATCTATCTCTCTATCTCTCTATCTCTCTTTCTACCAATCTATCTATCCATCTCTCTTTATCTCCATCTATCTCTCGTGTATCTATCTATATATCTATCTATTTCTTTTTCTATCTATGTATATATCTATCTCTCTCTCTCTCTATATATTTATCTATCTATCTATTTATCTTCCTACCTATCAATATATCTATTAATCTACCTATCTATCTCTCTATATTTCTATCTATCTATCTCTCGTGTATCTATCTATCTCTGTAGCTCTGTACCTATCTCTCTATTTATCTATCTTTCTATCTATCTATGCATCTATCACTCTATCTACCTATCGTTCTTTCTTTCTTTCTTTCTTTCTTTCTTTTTTTTATCTATCTCTCTATCTCTCTGTCTATCTATCTATCGGTCTATCTGTCTATCTATCTATCTATCCATCTATCCATCTATCTCTCTCTCTATCTATCTATCTATCTATCTATTTCTCGTGTATTTACATGTCTCTCTATCTCTCTATCTATCTATATCCTTTTTACTTATCTATCTATCTGTAACTATCTACTTTCTATCTAGTCTGCCTATCTATCTATCTATCTATCTATCTATCTCTATTTTCTATCTTTCATTTATCTATCTATCCGTCTATCTCTTTATCTATCTATCTATCTACCTATCTCTTCTATTTATATTTCCATCTATCTATCTATCTCTCTCTCTCTATCTCTTTATCTATCTATCTATCTATCTATCTATCTATCTATCTATGTATCTATCTATCTATCTACCTATCTTCCTACCAATCAATATATCTGTCAATCTACCTATCTATCTATCTATCTATCTATTTATCTATCTATCTATCTATGTATCTCCCTACCTATCAATCTATCTATCAATCTACCTATCTATCTATCTATCTATCTATCTATCGCTCTATCTTTGTATCTAATCTATCTATCTATCTATCTATCTATCTATCTATCTATCTATCTATCTATCTATCTATCTATCTATCTATCTATCTATCTATCTATCTCTATTTTCTCTATCTTTCATCTATTTATCTATCCGTCTATCTCTATCTATCTATCTATCTACCTTTATGTTTTATCTATATTTCCATCTATCTATCTATCTCTCTCTCTCTATCTATCTATCTATCGATCTCTCTTTTTATCTATCTAGCTATCTATCTCTCTGCTTTCTCTATCTTTCTCTATCTATCTATCTATCTATCTATCTAACCGTCTATCTATCTATGCATCTATCTATCTCTTTCTCTTTATCTATCTAGTCTTTCTATCTATCTATCTATCTATTTAGCGATCTGTACCTAAACGAGCGAAAGTGCTGTGCCTGCCACGAAATCTGTACTTGACCTTGCGAAAGTGCTGCGCCTGCCACGAATTTGGCGCTTGACCTTGCGAAAGTGCTGCACCTGCCACGAAATCTGTACTTGACCTTGCGAAAGTGCTGCGCCTGCCACGAATTTGGCACTTGACCTTGCGAAAGTGCTGTGCCTGCCACGAAATCTGTACCTGACCTCCGCCACGAAATCTACACCTGACATTTCGAAAGTGCTGCGCCTGCCACGCAATTCAAACCTTGAGAAAAGTTGAGCTTGCGATAGTGCTGCGCCTGCCACGAAATCCGCACCCGACCTCACCAAAGTGCTGCGCCTGCCACGCAATTCAATCCTTGCGAAACCTCTGCGTTGCCGTGCCAATGGGCCCGGCGCCGACCCCGCTCCGATCCCGCTCCGGCCAGACGCCGCGGACAGGCTAGCTTTCGCATCTCCGGAGACGCCGATTCGCGCACTTTTTGCGACTTTCTCATCTGCGAAAATGCCGATTCACGCGCAGGGCCACGCTTTTTGCGACTTTCTCTTCCCCTGCCACACGCGCGCGCATTTTTTCTCGCGGGCTTATTCCTTCTCTTGTCATTTGTCTCAGAGAGCTAGTGCTGCACCTGCCACGAATTTGGCACTTGACCTTGCGAAAGTACTGCGCCTGCCACGAAATCTATACTTGGCCTTGCGAAAGTACTGCGCCCGCCACGAAATCTACACCTGACATTTCGAAAGTGCTGCGCCTGCCACGCAATTCAAACCTTGAGAAAAGTTGAGCTTGCGATAGTGCTGCGCCTGCCACGAAATCCGCACCCGACCTCACCAAAATGCTGCGCCTGCCACGCAATTCAAACCTTGCGAAACCTCTGCGTTGCCGTGCCAATGGGCCCGGCGCCGACCCCGCTCCGACCCCGCTCCGACCAGACGCCGCGGACAGGCTAGCTTTCGCATCTCCGGAGACGCCGATTCGCGCACAGGGCCACGCTTTTTGCGACTTTCTCATCTGCGAAAATGCAGATTCACGCACAGGGCCACGCTTTTTGCGACTTTCTCTTCCCCTGCCACACGCGCGCGCATTTTTTCTCGCGGGCTTATTCCTTCTCTTGTCATTTGTCTCAGAGAGCTAGCTTTCAATTAGTTGCCGTAACACGGAAGTTCCTTCTAAACTTCCTTTGAAAATCAGTTTGCTCGGGGAGGCTTGTTTTCCATTTGCCTTAACGGAAGGAATGTCTAGTGGTAAACGTGTTCTTTTTAAGGGGCATATTCCGCAGGTTAGCGCTTTTCGTTGGAACGCTGGGGCCAACAAACGTAAGTCGAGATTTATGCCCGGGGACTTTGGGGAGAAAGAAGTGGAACAGCTGGCCGACAAGGATTACTCATCCTGCAAGCACTAATGTTGACCCCAGATTAATAAACCCCCGTTTATTAATGCGGGGGTGTCCCTGATTTTAGTGGGGATGTATCACTTTTCGAGTGGACCACCCCCATATTCATAAACAGGGGTTTATTAATCCGGGGTCGGCATTATTATGTTCAGGATGGTGCCATGTCCCGGAAGAATATGATGTATTTGAGTGTATCTCGCGCTGACGCGGTCTGCTTCGCGCATTCCCTCGCTGGCATTGACCCTTTTGTATTTTGCGCGCGGGCCAGGGCCGTTTAAATCAGTGGTCTCTTGTCTGGGCCATGTTGCAACCTTCTCCCGTGGATTCAGGCTGCGCAGACCAGCCAAGTGGCTCGGGCTTGTGAAAGGATGAGTTCGCAGGCGGACTTCAGATCGCATCCAAGGCGGAGCAACATTCACACACACGAAAGTAGGGCAGGGGAGACCGCGAAACCAGCCACTGCCCCATCAGATTGCATTTTGTTTGGAAGCAGATGGAGCCCCCTGTTTGGGTTCCACGTTGATTTGCCCAGGAATACCCCCCCTTTTTTCGGCAGGAGGAAGCGTCTGGAGCGCAAACCCCCAACTGCTGCAGAGCTACAGGCCGGAGAGCTGGTTGCATTTCCACCCTAGTACTCAATGCTGCCCTCTGTTTGGTTAATTGTAACCCTGGATTAAACACTCCTGGTTGATTAATAGGGGGTGTCCCCTTTTAGTGGGGATTCATCTCTTTTGGAGGGAACACCACCTAATAAAAGGACGGGTTTATGAATCCTGGGTCAACATTATGCTTGACAAAAGTTTGGCTCTGAAGGCTCCGATTTTGTTTATTACCCCAGCCACTAAGCCCGCCAGAACGCCTTGAGCAAGAAGGGTCCACCCACGCCTCACCAAGGTCGTGATTTGAGCCAGCCTAGTGGGACGGCTGCTCGGTGATAGGCAGGTTTCTTTTCTTTCTTTTTTTCTCCAGCGCCTCTTTAAATGGGCCATGCTAGTTTGGCAACCCCACATGGATGTTCAACCTGCTTAGTAAATAGGTCCATCACCATGGTGATAAGGGGACTAACCCCGGATACCCCGTTTAGAACATGATTACAGCTACTCAATGTTGACCCTGTACTATCTGAATCAACCCCAGTTTATTACTGGGAGGTTTCCCCTCCAAAAGTAATCATTCCCCTCTTATAACCCCCTTATTAATAAACCGAGGTTAATTATCTTTGGTGCATTTTGCTTGGATGTTAGGACTTTAACTTTTTGCCCACTGATGAGTTTTCCCTTAAACCACTAAAAGTTAAAAACTTTGAGCAGGGGAGCAGAAAACAACCGAGTTATTATGGGCTCAGGGCTACTTCTTATGACTAGGTTGCTTCAAATAGGTCCATAACCGTGGTGATAAGGATACCCCGTTTGTAGCACAGCCTACTTACTAATTAAGTTGCTTGAAGATCCAAGCGTTTGGCTCGAGGCAGCGGCTGAGGGCCTGCTCCTGCGCCACTCCGCGGGGCTATGCCTGCGGCCCTCCACGGCATCTCGCTATCGGGGCATCGAAGGGCGAGCAGCCACCGCGAAGCGAATTCCTCGGCTTTGGGTGTCAACATGTTGGATGCCCGGTATTTCCTTATCCAATTTAAAGACTACCTTTGAATTTGCAAAGGTTTTCCCTATCCAACTTAAAGGTCATGGGGTTTCAATTCCCGATGTTACCCTAGGTCCCCCAGCTAGGTGCCCGTTCACCAACTTTTTTGGTTGCGAGGAACCCCCTACTCAACTAGACAAAACAGAAAAACAATGGCACCCTTGTTCTAACCTCTCTACCCTATCCAACTCAATGATCATCTTTGAACTCGCAAAGGTAAGTTCACTTGTTGGTGCTGGTTAAGGAGGCGGCATAGCTGGACGCTCAAAGTGTATGCCTTTTCTTTCCCTTCGAACCAGCCGTTGTCGGGGTTGTGGACGCGGAGAAACCAGGCACTGCCAAATGAGCAAGGTGGTAGGCAGCGGGGGGGCTGGCTACATGCTGGCCAACACATGAGGAAACCGAACGGTTCATGTCTTACAGGTACTTGATTTCAGTAGAATCCCCAAACCTGTCAAACAGTCTCACGGAGGCTTGTCAAAATGGGTTCCGCACCCCGGCCATAAACCAGCTGTCGTTTTAGTCCTACTGCGCTTTTCTGTGGTTGCCGCCCCCTCACTATTTGCCCCCTATACTCAGAGCACTCGTTGTTTCAGAAGTGGGTTTTTTTTTTTGGCGGCATCCTTGCTTAGGTTGGTTGAAGGGAAACCAAAAAACTGCTTTTTTGGGGGCACCCTTAAAAACACGATAAATCTGATATTCAAGATGGTTTGCCAGAACCTCTTGTTTTTGTGGGGGGGGGGAGGGGGAGATTTCCTTTTTTTGACACACAGGAGAGGGTATAGGTTCGTGTTGTCACACGAACCGACACATGAGATGCAAGAAGTTTTTTCTTGCAAGACAAAAAGGGCTCACGACCAAAACGACTCGCTACCTGGAGTCTCCATGACCCTTTAAAAATGGGTACATGACCCCTTAATTTTGGGTAATGACCCCATTTTTTAAGGGTCATGGAGACTCTAGGTACTTTTGCCACTTTTTGTTTTTTTGGGAGGATGGGTAACGTGCAGATTTTGCCTCGGATCGAGGCAGACCTCCGGGAGGGTACCGTGCTTCTGCTCTCCGACTGCGAAGGCGGCTCCGTGGAGAACTTGCGGCTCACAGAGGTGGACACCGAGGCAGAGGCGAGGCCGCGGCAGTTTTCAATCCCCCAAAGTCAGTCAACCTTGTCTGAGCCGTGGATGGCGGAAGTTTTCGTGGGCCCTGACTTTTGGAACCCCCAAAGTCAGTCAAGTGGATGGTCCGGCAAGTTAGGAAGTCGTTGGTAACCTATAGGGTATAGCCCGCTAAGAAATTTTCTTATAGGGAGTTAACCTTTTGATTCACACGGGTGGCTAACACGGGTGGCTAAACATTTACAAACTCATTGCCAGCTCACTTGTCCAAAGCGAAGCGGCCGGATCTAGGTTTTGGTTTTGCAATGTCCAGTTTCAGTCAGGCCCCCGAACGGTCCTTTTATTCCTGGGCCCTGTGGGTAAGTGAGTCTTTAGATTGTCCTCCCCCCCCCCCCCGCGGAACAGTGCCAAGGGTCCAATCAGCCGAAAATGCGGAGCCCGGAAAATCCGGAATCCTCAATGGACCCTCACGGTCAGCTCTTTCCATCCCCACCCGAATTGCTGGGCTCGAGTTGGTTCTTTTCTACCGCAACGAAACCCAGCAACTTCCAACTTCCGACATACCCTTCTCCTTCTGTCCACCTACGTGGAACCCACCACAGGGTGCTTTGTAAAGGAGCACAGTCTTCCAGGATGTTTGTGAGCAGGGTAGATTCCCTGCCTCTGTTGTGAAGGGCCAAAAAGTTGAATTCGCTACCACCGGGCGGGCGCGTCCAACATGGGAACTATCGATTCACCTTGGGGAGGCCGCGAAAACATGTGGGAGCCCACTGCTACTTGTCATTTGGAAACCGCTTGGCCCACCCATGGGCCTGGGCTCTGGCTTCATGGCACCAAAGCCACAGCCTTTGAGCGCTAACCGTTCTTCTCTTTTCTTCAGCTTTGTGGCTGGCCGGCAATCGCAAAAACGCACGGTCGTACTGTGGATGGACGAAATCCTGCACCACCCTCAAAACCCTGGAGGAATAATTCCCTTCGTCTAAATACCAACAAGCAATGATGGTTTCCCATGGTTTCAAAGTGGCGCAGAACTTTGGACCTCGATTGTTCTTTCACTGCTTCGGATTTTGAGCTTTTCTCTGAAGTCAAGCTCTTTATGGCATATTGGCAATTTGGACCGGTTGTTTTGTGTCTCTTTGTTTTTCTCTTTTTCTTTTTCTGGGCTGCGAAAGAATGTGATCCGCGCAGTGGACCAGCTAGGGTTTTAGAAACCAGCTTTGTTCGCTTGTAGAACGAATCAGTCACTGGCCTTGGAGCTGTGGGATTGGTTCAGCTTTGGGCGATTCCACGAGGTAAGCGAACGATTTCTGGGGTGGGATTCCCCGTCACCCTGCTTCAGGGCTTGGGGGTTTTCATGAGTGTTGCTTCGCTTTGCCTTTTAACCTTTTTGGTTGACAACAACATTTGTTGGTTGAACATGAGGGCGGGCCCCCTTCAATTGCAGTTGTTTCACGGTTTCCCTTTTCACGGGAAGAGTGAGTTGGCCCTGCCACAGGTTTTGGGCAAGTTTGCTCCCCGACAAACTACCGGAAGGAACCTAAAGAGGGGACTCCCCAAAGGAATTTCCTCTACAAAGTGGGTGGGCTGTTTAGATTCCATGCGGCATTCTGTCGGGAATGACAAAAATAGACGCTTGGTTTTGAGCATGCCTGAGCAAGCGGCGCCCTGAGGACGACGAGGATTCGTTGGGGCAGGTGCCTTTGCCTTTTTAGCTCTCAGACGGCTCCCCTGGCCCAAGTCACGGCCACCACGGGAAGCGATTGTGCAAAAAACATCAGTTCAAATTATGTTAAATTACTATTTTCCCTCTACTATGGTAAGAGATTAGTGGGTTCTAGCCAGGCTTACCCTTACCACTTCAGTAAGTTTGAATGGGTTATAGCCAGGCTTACCCTTGAATCAATGCGGGGAGTAGATCAAAGATACATTGCCAATTTTTACTTGGGTTTTGTGGCAGCGGAAATCCGATGCCGAATCCTGCGATTGGGGAGGCCGCCAGGTCTTGACTTCCGTCCCCCTGCTGTTCTCAAAAAACACGACACGCGGCATGAAAGCACCGAAAACGCAGAACCATGTTGTTCTGCCAAAACGGAGGTTCAAAGAAGACAAATCGTTTAGTCTACTTGCTGTGGCAGTGTACTTAGGAAGTGGTTAGCAAGCCGGGTTATAACCCACGAGATTTTTGGCTATAACCAGGCTTACTACCCACTTACGAAGTCCAATGCCCCTTTAAACAGATTGGGCGAGATCGAGCATGTCATACTGTTTTCAAGGTTTCACCGTGTACAATACCTTCCGGCAGCCATAGTAACCCCCTAAAAAGCACCCTGTTGGGGCAAGATCCCCGTTTGGGGGTCCACTTGGGCTGAAAAACCCCGCGCCTTTTCGTCATGTAAGGGGCCGTCCCTTAGCTTGTTTTGCAGGCCAGAACCATTGTAAACCGATACAGAGGAAAAATCAGATACCCCCAGAAGCCATGACGACACACATCAGGTCCAAGTTGTTGTCGCAAACCAAGACTGTGGAAGCATAAATTAGCAGGGCCCAAACCGATACCCAACCGATACCCAACCGATACCCAACTCATTAGCCGCCATGCCGAATCCAACCAGCTGCCCTGCAGCCTTCCCTGCTGCCAAAATGTACTTTTGTGTACTACATTTGTACTGAAAAGTTGCGACTTCCGCGCTGGAGCTGCCAAGATGTACTTTGTGTACTACACTTGTGCTGAAAGTTGCGACAGCTGGAGCTGCCAAAATGTACTTTGTGTGCTACACTTGTACTGAAAAGTTGCGACTTTCGAGCCGGAGCTGGCAGAGTGTACTTCGTATACTAGACTTGCACGGAGAGTCGCGACTTTCGAGCTAGAGCTGCCAAAGTACTGCAAGCCAATGCTGAGGAAAAAATCAATACTGACCGATACTAGGGCATGAAGATGTAAGGGTTGTCCACGGGGTTGTCACGAAAGCTAGCTTTAGCTAGCTGAAGTTTCTCCTTGCGTAAGCAAGGTAAGGGGCTCAAATGCCGAAAGATTGATTTTTTCAATTATTTGAGCCGAAAAGATTGAAAAACAATTATTTAGACCCCCCCCCCCCCCCCCCTCCCCCCGGTCTCAGGCTCGATTCCTCCCTGGTCCATCCCCCCCCCGGCAGTGGCTCAGTGTTCAGCAGTCTCGGTTTGCCCGTTTTGGACTTGGTGCTACGAACTTTTACATGTTCCACCGATTCAGCTTGTTCATTTGAGACCTCAGTCTTCTCAGTAAACCACCTCGCAAGACTCTTTGCACACGAAGCATGCAGAACCCAGAGGTGCTTTAAGCCAGCTTCTGACGCCTCTCGTTGTTTTCATTTTTCAAGGTTTGCCACGCCACCATGCGCGTTTGCGTGTCGCATCCTACGAATCTTGCCGGGCCTCTCGTTGTACACAAGCTACTCATGAATGCACTCTGTCACCGACCCATCTCATGCAACAACTGCTAGCTTTCGTTCACCCGCTCCTCAAGTTTTTTCAACCCACTTGACTTTGCATGGAACCATGCAGAGGCTCAGGTGGCAGCCGCGCGCGGAGAAAGACCACGAAAACAACTCTTCACCGCTTTAGCAACGAGACGAGACATGGGGTGCGGCTCCAAATTAAACAGGAAGGGGAAGCCGCAGGTTTTGGTCCATGCTTCCACTTGCCAGGGTTCCATTTTTAGATTTACACCGAAGGCTTCCACAAGGGACTGAATTATTGGCTGTTGCAAACCACGCAATGCTCACATGCAAGGACCAGCCTGATACACTGGATGCCCAGGAGGTTCCCAGGGAGTTACTTGGAAGAATGTGACTTTGGATGTAACGAAGTGTCGTTCCAAACCTTCCAGAAGCTCATTCTCGGCTGTAAAGCCCGCAACGCATCCTTTGCCGCCTGAGAAAAGAATTGCGATTTCGTCATTGCTCGCAAGCTTTTAGGGCGTGCACGATACCTACAACAACTTGGCTGGCGACTGGCTCTTGCAAGTTCCGGCTTTCGGCCCGTTTGAGCGGTGAAAGTCCTGACTTTTGTGCCCTGCTGTGGTTGAACGAATTGTTGCACCACTTTGAAACCATAGAAAACCATTGTTTGTTGGTATTTACAGGGGAAGCATCACACCAGGGGTTTTTGGGTGGTGCGAAATGGATTTCGTCCATCCACAGTATCCACTCAGGAAGTGAGGAAGTGTCCCACCGAGGCGACGATCAAGCTGGGACCCAACTGCGCGCATCCTCAAGGGGACAACGAGGAGTTACCTCCCAGCGAGCCGCGCCTAGCCTTTCCGGCAGACTGCGCCCCGGCGGACATCGGTTTCTTTTTTCTGATTTGGGGGCTCCGTTTGGGGCATGTCTTTTTCAGATTTGCTGCCATTTTGGGGGCTGGGTGGAAGGGAAACAGAAGCGGAAAAGGACTACTTTTGGGGGTACCCCTATATTGAGAGCAGTCAATTTAATTGGGTGTGCCTGAAGGAAGCGGTGTCCAGCTGGAATAAACTCTTGGTTGATGTCGTTGGGGGTGTTGTCCATTTTGAGGGGCGCCAATCTAATCATGCGGCAGGTCTATTCAGCCTTGGCAACGCTACCTTGTTTTGATGGTCTAGGTCCCCAGTAGTGCCCTTTCTCACCACTTTTTTGGGGGAGGGTCCCCCCACTAAAAATAGACAGAAATAAATGGTACCCTTCTTCTAACCTCTCGACTGGAGGACTTAGCCCCAGAGGCCGGATCGATCAGCCGCCACTCCCTGCTTCCTTTCTTAAAGTAAGGCACCGCTTTCCCTTTTTGAGGGTGCGTTTTTAGAGGGGCCGCTCCCTTTTTCCTTTCTGAAAGAAAGAAAAGAACCGTTTTTTGGGGGTGGTTGTTTTAAAGGGAAGCCAAAAGGAAGGTGACAATTTTCGGGGTTTCCTCGGATGTGGCCAAGGGTAAATGTCCACCAAAAAGGGAAGTCCTGTTTGTGAAGACAGGCAACTGACTCGCAGCCAACCTGTCGCAAAGCACCCCGCTCGAAACCCTCGTGCCCTTTGCCAAGTTGGCCAGGCACCTCCAAGAAGCACCGCTTCGTTTTTAGCCGCCTCAAGGCCGAGGGCGGCTTTTTGCTCATGCACGTGGCCAGCAGGACTCGGTGACTCACAAATATCTCGTTTGACTTACTTGTCATTTGAGGTTTGGTTTACGGGCGAAGCTGACCCGGTTAGAGGCACTGCAATGTGGACTATATGAGGGCCACAGACTTCTCAGACGGGAGATCATATACTTCCTCTTTGGGGTCCGGAATCACCCCCCTTTGTTTCATCGTCAAAGAAGGGCGACGCACGCTCAATGGTTTGCTTCTTCGTTGCTTGAAGCCTTTGGGCAGGTCCCAGGAGTTACCTTCCCGCGCTTTCGAGAAAAACATGGTAGGTAAAGATGGGCACCATCATGTAAAGCCTAGAGGGAGCAAGCTCAGACAAACTACGGCCCTTGGCTTGTTGCAAAAAACCCTGCCACCCCGAAATCAACGCTTTGGGGCATTTTGCTTGGATGTTAGGACTTTAACTTTTTGCTTACTAATGGGTTTGCCATTAAACCACTTAAAGTTAAACTTTTAGCAGGGGAGTAGAAGCAAGACGAGAAAGGCTACTTGTGCGGAGCAATGTGTTGCAGCTCGTTGTCCTTTGAATTGAAAGGCCCGGCTGGCAGCTGAAAGCCAGCTGGCAGTCATAGTCTCAGAGTTCATGCCGAGGGCTTGCGCATGGCTTCATACATTCATATACCTTGACGCAAAAGTGTAACTTTCGTCCCGTGAGTTGCAAATTGATCTGTTAATCCGGGATTTCTGCATTACCCCTAGGAATTGACTGCACTTGGAACATATCGAACGCAGTAAGTGCATCAACGGTTTTACCGAGATTGAGCTCCACTAGTGGCGGCTTTCCGTTTGCGTGGCAAAGCTGAAGGATAACCAAGCCGGCTTTCAAACTCAGGTTGCGACTCGGTTGCGGCTGGAATTGGAGGTGTGGTTGGTGATGACTTGCAGCTCGGTTTTTCCATGTTGAAACATGTGGCAGTTGCTGGCTGGTTCTTGGTGCTTGTATCGTGGTTGGACCCATGGATTTCGCCTGCGTTCTTTGCGGCAGGATGTGCGTCCACCCCTTCGAGGGCCGCGAAGAGCCGAGGGATGGCACGGAGCTGATCCTGCATGGGGCCACTTGGCCCGGGGGAGAAAGGGGCATTAGGAGGTGTGCGTTTGCGATTGGATTTTCGTTGGCGCAAAGTAGCCGAAGGGTGGGTTCACAACTTGTGGGCCCACTTTGTTGCATGTTGTTTACCTTTCTCGGACCTACAAAAGTCCACTTAGGGGAGCCACATAGAGCGGCATTTTTACAACAACAAAGGCGTCTCTGTAACCAAATCCTGCGCCAGTGAGATGGATGGATGGATGGATGGATGGATGGATGGATGGATGGATGGATGGATGGATGGATGGATGGATGGATAGAGGATAGAGGCCAATGAATCCTGTGATTAGCCAGGTACCGGCTGGTGCAGGATTTCCTCCATCCACAGCAAGCAAGCCTCCATTTGCATAAGATTTATTATTATTATTATCATGGTTTTCCTTTGTTGGTTTTGAAAGAAGTTCATCACTACTGGACATACTATTTTTTGTTGGGGCATTAACCCAAACTGAAGTAAGATGGCAAATAATTTCCCACACATGTCCTTGCGACATCGCCTTTGCTTACCCAGCGGGAGTCGTGCCATCTCTCAGTAGGGAATTAGAGAATGCCCCCTATCAACTGTCCTTGGGTTCCTTTTAGCATTTAGGGATTTGTGTTTCCGGTTCATTCCCAACACCCCTCAACCAGCGAGCTACTGTGGACGACATCCTGCACCAGTTGATGGGCTAGCCCCTGTATTCATAAGCCTTCATCCATTTCAAGTGGTGCAAAGCGATGTTAGAAGTTGGCAAGGTTTGGAAGACCACTCTTCTTTTGACGCCCCCTATCCACTTCCATTGGATGCAGGCTATGAGTGTGTCTTTTTAATGTCCGCAATTGGATTTCGGTTTCCCTTTTGGTGTACCCCTAAACTAACCTGAAAACAAAACCCTCAAACTGGGTCTTCCTTTGATTCCCCCCCCCCCAAAAAAAAAAACGGGTTCCCCTACAAGATGCTCCAAAACGGTTCCCCTTTGAAAGCTCCAAAAGAGACGGGTGAGCCTCAATCCGCGAGCCATCAAGAGGTGCCAAGGGCACCCAAGCACCAGCCACAGGACTGCAGCCCGAACCGCCGCGCCTTGGTCTTCAAAGCCGAGAAGCCGCGCAGCTCCTCGATTGCCAGGCCCGAGCTGGCCGAGGCCGAGGCGCGCGGTTCTCGGTGCCTTTGGTTTTTCGGCTTTCGATCGCGGAGAGGTACCCAGGGTCGCCTTCTCTTGCTGAGGTACCCAGGTCGCCTTTTTTTTTTGGGGGGGGGGCTGCTCAGGAGGGAAGAATGAACCCAGGCTTTGGTCGGTCGGGCGAGGTACCCCGAGCCTCTCTTGCTGGTGCTCAGGGAAGAATGAACCCAGGCTTTGGTCCCCGTACAGGAAACCACCAGTTGGATGGTTTATCTTGGTGCCATTCCATTTCTCCTTCGCTGAGCAGCAAGTTTTGTACGGTAATTATAGCTGTCCTACCATTTTTGTTGGTGACTACGTACATGGTGCCACGTGCCCCGCTCGTGGCTGGAGGCCTAAGCCACGTTGGGAACTGGAACCTGACCGTATACTGAATACTTTGTCTACTATTAGGTCGGATCTTTAGACTAACCTTTTGGGAAGTCAAGGGGGTTGCCGCAGTAAGCCCACAAAGAGTTGGACCTTTTTGCAGAGGGCCAACAGCAACCAAGCTACAAGGGGGCAACATGAGAAAAAAAGGCTCCGCAATGAGGTAGTTTGGATGGATAGTACCAGGCCACCCAAGTCTAATTATTCGCAGGTGTCAGAAGATTGAGTCATGTTATATGCTGCTCTTGGTATGCTTCGTGGGGGTGGGGCGGGGCGGGTGCAAGGACTGTAGTCAGGACATACCTTTTTCCGATTAATTCATTCCAGGTTCCACCACTGTTCTTTTGGTGTATCGCTATGTGACGGCGATGTTTGCCTTAAGGACATGTTGTTTTTTGGCTGGGCGAGGGGGGGATGCGACTTTGCGACTTGTGAGCCCCAAACCTTCCTGAAACTAGCCACATCCTGAGTGAGCGTGCAGCTTTCTTGGGTGCATTCTGCTTGGCCAAATCGACTCTCGGCAGCTGGGGTAATGAACGGTCAGCCTGGCAGCCTGGCGGCTCGAAGGTCGCCAGGCGCTTCAGGCGCCTCCTTTTTGGTTCGGGCCGGAGGGATCCGAGCATTCCTTGGTTGCAGGGTTGTGGGAAATGGAATCCACGAATTTGTGATACAACAAAAAGGGCTTCCCAAAGACTATCACCCCATATAAAGGGGGAGATTCCCTTGTATCACAGAAGTGGGAATAAACCCCTTGATTTCACAACTCTGCTTTGTTGCATTGTGCAAAGGGATGTTAGTACTTTAACTTTTTGATCCAATGGGTGTTCCGTATTAAACCCCTAAAAAAACACTTTTCGCAGGGGAGAAGAAAGCAACCGAGTTTTGTGTTGTCATCACTTTGCATTGGAGCAACCAACAAAAAGGAAGGAGGCAAATGGCGAAGGTTAGAAACAGCTTGGTTTGAATGGCAGGGCAGCTTCTCTCATTGCCCGACTTCAACTCGCATGTTGGAAGCCCCTTGCCCTTTGGGGTTTTCGCGGCCAAAAAGCTGAATAGGTCCCCCAGTAGTGCCCTTTTACCCTTTTTTGGGGGAGGGTTCCCCTACTAAATTAGACTACAGAAAAAAGTTGGTACCCTTATTGTATCCCCTCTACTGGAGGACCTGGCCTTTTGATTTGTTTGGTTCCCCATTTGCCCTTTTGGCTTGGTTCCCCTTTTCACCCGCCAATAGGTCACTTGCCGGGATCCCTTGGCAGGTGAGCACCACGCCCATGCTGAAGCCAGAGGGCGAGCAGCGCCTGGCCGCAAAGAAAGCGAATTCGTTGAAACGCCTTGAGATGCTTCCCCAGGACTAGCTCCCCTTTTCGCTTTTTGCTTTTTTGGGGTCCCTCTGTGTTCCACCAACCCGGCATTTTTTTGCCGGGGTCCTAATTCCAGAGGATGTTGGTTGCTGTTGGCTTGGGTCCTTATAGCTGTTGTTTGTTCTTACTAAGTGTGTTCTTCTTCCTTTTTTTCCTGGGGGGGGGGGAACGGGAATTCCCCATCAACCAGCAAAAAGTGTGTCAGCACAAATTTGCAGGGGGCAATGACCACATAGTTGTAGCGATTTTTGGTACGTACTAGCCACGGTCGATAAGTTTCGCTCAGAGACATCATCTCCAACTTGTGGCGCGTTCCGTGTGGTTTGTTGCTTCGTTGGTGTTACGGTAGTTTTCAGCTCGCCAAGCATTAGCTGTGCAACTGTTGTGGAATGCCAGCTCAGGGCGAAGACACAAGCATGACTATCTTCATCAAGCAGGATTCTGGAAGCAATGTAACCGTTCGAGCTCTGAACAAGCTCCAGTTTTGTGAGTTAACAAAGGGGAGCCACTGGTTCCTTGTTTGAAAGCGCACTCGCAAGCCAGAAGTGTTTCTGGGTCGGCCGCCAAAAAAATGAATAGAGCAAATGAGCATGCCTTTTGTCATTTGTTGGGGACAACCTGTTTCGGCAGGCTTTCAAAGAAGACTACAACAACCCAGCATTTGGAAGATCCGCTTTTCGTGAGACAACTCAAAATCGACCCTTTGGACGTGGCCGTGTGCCTTCCGGAGCCAAAGGGTCGGACAAAGCACAAATTCAGTATTTTGAGGCCGTTGGTCACGAGGCTGCTCAGTTTGGGGCTCGGGCGTGCGGGGAACACTTACCTTCAACCAATAAACAAACAATAGGGGGGACCCGAACTTATCTGGTGCAAATTGGTCCCATGCTCAGCTTGAGAAATCCAGAAGCCCTAGCACCAATTGACAGGTTTGGGCGTAACACTCGAGCTCGGAGGATTGCCTGATGCAAGTTATCCTTTCTCCTTTTGGTTGGCGACTTGTGGTTTTTTGCCATGTCGCCTTTCTGAAAAAGACTCGTTCTTTGACCCCGGTGCTTCCGAACTGTTCCCTGGATTCGAAGCCGGGCGCACTCAGCTCGATCTGGCTCCCCTCTCTTGCCTCGCGCAGTAGGTTGCAGGACCCTAATTTTCGCAGGCCCGGGCTCGTGTGGGGGAGGGGGGCGGGAGGTTACACTGTTGAAGCGTAATCCGGACGATCCCTTTGCAAAAGAGCTTCCCTGTAGGTTCCCTGGGGGTTCAAAATTCGGATTGGCATCCCTTTTGAACAGCCCAGAGATGGGGGCTGGTGTGTGTGTGCAAAGGGATTCTATGATCTGAGGGGCTTTCGGCATCGCAGGGCCGCGCACCATGGTGTTGCTTGCCTATTGGCTACCCTTCAAACATTTACGAACCAAAGCGGGCTCTAATTTTTGATCGGTTCACAAAGCTGTCCTTTACCTAACGTGCAGACGGCCCGCTTGCTAGCCTTTCAACTTTCAATCATAGATATAGTCGTGCCGCGATGGGCAAAGGACGCCCTGTATGTAAAGGATGCCAACTGGTGACTAGCCCACAAAACCAAACTGTTTGAATGTTCAAGCTAGGAGTCGGTTGGAGTGTGATTCATTGGATAGCGTCTCCTTTCTTCAGTGGCACGCTGTTCTTCTAAAGGTAAGGATCAATCCCCAAAAGCGGACAAGTTTTTCTATCAGGGTCACTGAAGAGTTGTTCGAAACGGACTTCGGACCACCTTTTGGTATCTGAAGGGAAGCCGAAGGGAAAATCAAGCCACAAGGCCCCGACTGGAGGAAGCACACTGGTGTCAGGCAATCATCAATTTGTGGTTGGCCACTTCCACCCTGAGCTCTTGTAGGGGATAAAGGCGCAAACTGGCCCGGAACGCCACTCCAAGCCACCAATCTGTGGATGTCACTCGTTTTTTGTTTTTTTGGTTTTTGTGTGTGTTTTTTGGTCCTGGCGTTGTCAATTAAACAGTTTGCCCTCCACTGCTTCCGGACGGCCCGATCTCTCACTCCAAACCTCGGGGAAGTGAGGTGCAGCTACACCCCCGGCAGCCCTCAGAGCTCGAGACCGGGGAAGCCCTGCAGCCCGGCAGCACCGTTTTTTTGGGCGGCGAAGCGGTCGATGAGGGGACCTGACAACTTTCAGCTGAAAACTTTTCGCAGGGGTCATGCTGTTTGGGTGGTTGCGAGGAATCAATTTTCCTGCACCACGAACTGAAACCACTCCGCAAAACCATGAGGTTTGTCGGGTATTTACAGGGGAAGCGACTCACCCCAGGTTTTTTTAGGTGGTGCGAAATGGATTTCGTTCATCCACGGTAGTTTTGGGCGAATCGAGCTGAGCGCACTTGACGTTGTCAACTGGAGTTTTCGAATGGTTCGGAGTTCCTTCCGCTGCGTTCCGCAGGAGCCAAACCAGCAGAACCGAGCGGAAGTGGATGGCTAGCGATGGTTCGCGTTTGAATGGGGACTCCTCCATCGTGAAGTTTAAGCCAAGGTCCCAGGTAAACCTTTGATGTGCACTTAGGGCAAAGACGGTTGTCCACACTTACGGGCGGCCGCAGGATCCCCAAATCCATTGGCATATGCCAAACAAGTCACTTGACAATGAGCAATTCCCCCTCCTGCCTCACGTTCTGGAGACTTTCCGCCGCAGTCCGGCCTTCGGAGCAGACTGTGAAGTACATGGCTTCACAGCTGTTTGGCTGGCTTTTCACTTTCGACCAAAACGAAAGCGGCTTCTCACACTTCGGATCTTTTATGGCCCATAAAGATTTCCAGATCCCTTGGGCAGAGTGGATCTATGGCTGGGGCATCCAGCGGGCTCCATCCTAGCTTGGCCTTCCCGAGTTCCCGAACTTGAACTTTTTGGGTTGGACCATTGTAGAGGCCAGATCCAATGTTTGGTTGCTTTTTTAGGCCAATTTTCTAAGGTGAGATTTTGGTCGAGCCCATTGGTTTAGGGCACAGCTCCTCATGGGACCTAGCCAGAATTCACGAGCAACTGGACATGTTCCCATGAACATCTCATTCAGTAGGCAAGTCGCCTTTTTTTTGGTTTGCTGATCTTGGGCCAGATGTTGGGAGATGCCTGAGGCAAGGAGCCAAACTACACTAGATATCTTTCCGGTGCAAGCAAGTGTCACTATATGTCCCCCGTGCTGAGGAGCACCGTGTTTCCCCATGTTAAATCTGTTTGGCAAGTTTACCATGCCTTTTCCCGGACCGATCTTAGACGATCTTCATCTTCCCATTCTTTGCAGCCATCGTTCTTTTCAAAAACCAGCCATTTCCCCAGGGTGTTTGGTGGTTTTCTAGAAAGAATGATCCCTGGAAAGAATGGGGAAGTTACCCCTAGAAGACTGTTCTAGTTTGTCAGGGGCACAGGGAGGCGCTGCCTTGCGGATTGAGCCCTTAGTTTTGTCACTGGTTTGAGCTTCGACTTCCGAGGCCAATGGGGCCCAGTGCAGTTGTGTTCGCCCAAGCCGGCTGTTCATCCCCTTTGCTTACCCACGGAAAGGGGATTGGTTGTCTGAGACATTAGTCAATAACAAGGAGGAGTACCTGTAGACCTGTAGCAGTGCTATAGCTACTGTAGTTTCAATACATTTGCCCGGATCACCCTGACGTTGCTGTGCCCGAGGCTTGCCGCCAGCAAAGTTCTGGCCGTACAAGGCCTGGAACCGAGCGGAGCGTCCAAAAAGCTGCGCTTTGTTTAGGTCGACTAGGTCCCCAGCTAGGTGCCCTTTTACCTTCGTTTTGTTTTTCTCGGGGGGGGGGGGGAGGGCACTAAAATTGACTACAGAAAAAGTTGGTACCCTTATTCAAACCTCTCTACTGCAGGACCTCCAGGTTCTGCAGGGTCCTCCAGGGTCCATCCCCAAATTTGGCTAAGGTACTCCGCAGGTGCCTCACCCTTTGTCGGATTGGTTAAGAAAGCTTTTAGGTGCGGCCGTGCAATGAGCGGTTTTCGGGGGCCGGCGGCCAACCACGTTTTTTTTTTTTTTTTTTTTTTTTTTTTTTTTTTTTTTTTTTTTTTTTTTTTTTTTTTTTTTTTTTTTTTAATTATTATTATTAAGCAGGATTCAGCACTGCTACAGTGTTTGAAGCTTTATCATCAAGGTGGCTGTGGTCTGGTTGTTTAGAGACTCCCTGAGTTCCTGGACTTTAGTCACTTGTTGGGAAGCTCATTCTACCGATACACAAAAAGTTCGGACTTGTTTTGCCTCATCCACTCAGGAAGTTTTGACAAATGTCGCCTAGCGCTGGCTGTTGGCAATTTGGAGATGGCCCTTCAGTCGGGCACTGCTTCTAGCGCAAGCGAAGGAGATAGCTGAGAGCCATGGCTCGCGAGTGGTGCCTTTCAACTTGTTGTTGCTCTGTGTCCTTCTTTTCGGAAAATGCCAAAAGGCGTGCAACGACCGTATTAAGCCAGCTCGGTCCCATGGACATGAATGTATACAGAAACATGTGCATACATGAACGGGTGTTTCAAGGCCAACACCATGATGAGTCAGCACATGTCAGCATACCAACAGTATCATATCAACTCAGTAAGCAAATGCATACATACAGCCAAGGACTGTGCATAGGCAAGCAGATATATCATGCATGAATCTATACATATATATGTATACAAATATGTTTACGCACAATATCATTCTATATGTGGGTTCAAGGGAATTTCCAGGTATGAATTTGGGAGGTATGGATGCTTACATACCACCAACATAAGTTGCTAAGGCAGTATATGCCCGTTAAGTGGTATACAACCGCACCTCCAGATCCCCTCACCCTGAAAATGATCTTGATGTTTTTTTTTACTTAGCACACCAAAAAAAAAAAAACAACGTAAGCACAGTGCTGGGCTGTTGCCTTTGGCCCACCAGGCTCCCCCACACCACCGGTCAGGCCAGGTGCCCTTGAGCCCTGACTTGCTGACCTGCCCCTTGAGCCTGGAAATCACAGGTGATCCCCCTGCGCAATTCGAAGAACCGCCGCCAAGAAACCACAACCAACTGACACAAACGTGAGCTTCGGTTTCATCCAGACGGCACGATGTTCAGGGGCGTTCCTTTTTGTAAGGCTCAGTACTTGAAATTATCTATGCAAGTAGTGCCCTTTCTCACCCCTTTTTTGGGAAGGGCTCCCCTACTAAAATAGACTGCAGGAGAAAAAAAGGGTGCCCTTATTCTGGCCTCTCTACTCAAACACCTAGCCAAGAAGGCCCCCTGATCTTGTGGATTGAAATCAATGGCCATCGCTCTTTTTGAGAGTTGGAGGCGAGCACAGAGTCACATCTCGGGTTGCTGCTAGTCCAGCTGAGCCAGCATGTGTGTGTGTGTGTGTGTGTCTTTGTGTGTGTGTTTTTCCCCTCTGGTTGCCGTTGCCTCCAACCCGGGATGGGTCCCCCCCGAAGCCAAAATCGCCTCAACGGCTCACCGCACCCCGCGCTCGGGCGAGGGCAAGACCAGCTGGCGCATCGACCTGGGGAAGAGGATCTTGGCCTCGGTCACGCCAGAGGTCTCTGAGGACCTGTGCGAAGGCGGAGTTCGCCGAAGGGAAAACCACGATTTGCACGCTGGAGCATGTGGGTGTCCAATTGCGTTATGGGGATCTTTCACTTTCGTGTCCAGCCTCTGTTGTTCCAGCTGGTTGGCCGGGAAGGGACGTCTTCTTTCAACCGTACATGTTCACACATACGGGTACTAGGGAGCAAATTGGGGGGGCTGAGTGGTTTAAACATCAGCTTTCGGGCAAATGTCAATATCAGCTTTCTGCAAGACTGATGCCTTGGAGCCTCCGGGGGCCCTATTCACAGATTCACTTTGTGATTTTTTGCTGACCGTTTTTTTACGGGCAAGGGCCGTGACTGGTAGATTTGCGTCAGTCTTGGGGGCAAGCAGGCATCCATGTTGCTCGAGAGCCTTCAACCACAAGAAACGTCGGTTTTGACTGGGGCCTTGCTACGCAGAAAAGGGTGTCTGCATTTTTCCTTGCTTTGGCCGGCCACATGTTTGGGGCATATGTGTTGTTCCATTTATGGCGCTAAACAGGCACAGCGTCGGACTCCCCATGCAGGCAGCCACAAGGTGACCGACATGTTGATATGTTGTTTGTTTGCCTTCTTCTTCTTCTTCTTTCAAGACTGCCCCCTCTAAATTGAAGCGAGGATGTGCATTCGCACGCACACGGATGCGTGCAAAGAAAAGCAGCCGCACAGGCTTCTACCTCTTTGGGGACGTCACCTGGTGCAACAAAGCCTTCACCTCGCCGCCGGCAGCTGTCGTGGGGCCTCTCTGCCCAAAGCGGACAATTTTGCAAAAAGGAAACCTCTTTGGAGGCCCTTGGTGCCAGACAAATTTGCCTATTCAAGGGGCCCCTTCTTCTTTACGTCGCACGTTAGGAGGGGGTGCGACCGTTCATTTCTAGGTCCTGGCAAGTGAGGCTGTCCTATGGCATCGAAGAGCGGGACATTTGGAGCGAGCTGATCAGCGCGCAGCTGAGAAGCAAGCTTGTGCAGTCTTCCCGGGGCAGAGTCTCCTTTGAACGTAGTGTAACTCAAGACAGGAGAAGTGGCAAGACAGTCTCACAGAGGTTCCTGTTCAAGAGTTGAACATCCTCTTTTGTTCTCGCCTACGTAAACTTGGCCAGGCCTCCCTGGATATATACTGCCTAACTCTGTCTACATATGATTTGAAAAAGATATATTATAATATATATATATACACGTATATTGCAAAGAGGATCTGAAAACATCGAGTTTCCAGATCGTTTCCGCAAAACAAAAGCCGAAAATAAGGCCAAACAACGACTTGTTTGCAACGGGCCAGCAACACATGTGTTCAATCTTCCTTTCAATTTGCTGGTTTTCCTCCATTTCGGGAGTTTGGAAAGCACAAATGAAAAACACCTCGAGGAAGGTTTCATGTTATGTGCCCCAAGGAAGGGCCTGCCCACCAAGCTCTACGATTGCTTCATCCCGCCGGAGCGGTCCACGCCCATCAGTGGCAAAGCGCCCAACGGCACGCGCAAGTGCAAAGGCGGGACATGGTGGTCTCGCGATCCGACCGCGACTGGAGGAGCCTTTGCAAAGACCTGCGCGAGCCTTTTTTGGGGCCCCGGATCCTCATTAGGTCCCCCAGCTAGGTGCCCTCTCTGACCCCTTTCTTGCTTGGTGTTGGGTTCCCCTACTAAAATAGAGTACGGGAAAAAGAAAGGGTACCCTTCTTCAAACCTCAAAGTACTGGAGGACCTAGCCTGGTTGTGTCTTTTGATTCAACTGGCCAGTGGTAAACAGACAGTTTGGGGACTTTTCAGCCCATCCACTCAAGAAGTGAAACGGGTGTTCAGGCACAATTCTGACCTCCTTTCAGCGAGTGCAGCGGTGCTCACCTGGCTGCGGGTCACAAGGCAACATTGCTAATCTTTTTGCTTACACTGCGCGTCACCACCCTCCCCCTTCGGCATACTTGGCCTTCCTCAACTTTACTTGACCCCTTCCATGGCACGTGGAAGTGCCAAGGCGTCCCAGAGCGCGTAAGAGCAACCTTGGCTTGATGGGCCCTGCCTGTTTGTTTTGCTGGGAGGCACCCATCCCAGTCCCGACTTACGTGGACCACAAAGCCCCGCTGTCTGGAAGTCTTTCCTGCACCCGGCCCAGTGCAAACTTTTAGCCAGGCCAAACTGATCCTCCGGGCCAAAGCGGTCTGCCGGGCACAAACAGAATTCAATTGGCCTAGGCTTTGAAGCAGGCCCCGGCCTGAAACTGAACAGGCGTCGAGAGCCAGCCCTGCTACACCTCCAAGTACCAGAGCTACAGGAGCCTCTCGAGTTGGCACGTTTCACACCTTCGCCCAAATCCGAATTTTCACGCTGGGCTTAACTGCAGAGGACCCAGTCTTAGTACCCAAGCTTCTCCAACATGCCCGCCGAAGTGGGAATGAACGACTCCTGAGGTACTTGTTGAAGAACAGTGCGCACTTGCGGGAGAAGGCTTGAATCACGTTTGTTTTCTTGCAAGCCATGATGTTAAAGCATGCAATATTCCAGCGAAAACCTTTCATAAGAAGGCCAACAAATATAATGATTTTCCGAAATACCACTAGTCAACTCAGATCAAGGAGTATAGCGGAGTATTCTTCCCTGTGCGTTTGCCCGTGGCTTGGTGGCGTAGTATGCTCCTTACATACCCCATCGGTGGGTTCACAAAAGGCATTGTTAAGGCAATGAGGAGCAAGTCAGAGTCTTGCAGAGAGGTCAGCAGCTGGCATGTTGCTACCAGTAGGGAGGCCCTGTTTTTCCAACCACATTTATGGGTCCAAAAGAAAAGTTGGGGGTCAAAGCATCAGGGTACCCCATAGTCTACCATTGGTTTGGGGTGGCGTGAGGACATGAGCGCTACGGACATTTGCCACCAATTATGCGGGCAAGCCTGTGATGAAGGGTCCAGGGATTGCTCAATTCAGACTGGGGAGTTACGCACGTGTGCAAAATATTGTGTGTGTGTGTTTGCCACAGACCGGTGCGCTCACCGGCAGCAATGTTTATCAAGTAATCGTAAAATGCTGTAGAATGCAAATCGTTTCCCTTCTTTCCGGGGGCACGAAGGGTAGCTTTTCCAATCGTTTCCAGCGCCTGCTATTTTAGATTCAGGGCAGTTGACTGTGTTCCCTGGGACAAATGTGAGCTCACACCGATGGAAGATGAGACTCAAGGTGACAGAACCTTTGGGGTTCCATACTGCAGGTTCTCATTTGGTTGATTTTGCAGATGCAGGGGCCTGGAATTTTGAGTAATCTTGGCTCCCAGCCATCCGGTTCCTTAGCCTTTTAGCCTTTGTGTCTTTAGTAGTAGTTTCCATTTAACCCACCAAAAGTTAGTCACTTTTAGCGAAAATCCGAACGGGCAGCCCAGTAATGGTGGTAATGGTTAGATTCAGTAAGTGAGCGGACAGGCACAAGAAGGCCATGGAGTCAGCATTTGGTTTGGTAATTTGCTCATGGTGTTCATTTGCACATATGGCTGTGGCTCGAAAAACGGGTACCCAAAATGGAGCCCTGGTAAGTGGAAACATTGACCAAAACCTGCGTAACCCCTCCTGATTAATTTTGAGCCACACCCATATGAGTGGCATGGAGTTTTGGTCACATATAAGGGGCATGGCTTTTTCCAGGATCTGCTTGGGCGCAGAGCCCATGAAGCTCGAGGGCCGCCGCTTCGAGAATTTGCTGCCGCACCTGGCGGAGTACCCGGACCTCTCGGTGCATCTGAAGACACCCGGCACACGAACATCCGGTAGGTCCGGGCCTCTCCGGACCTTTGACATGTGCTTCTTTTCTCATTGTTTTTTTTAATTAACTAGGTCCCCCAGTAGTGCCCTTTCTCACCCCTTCTTTGGTTGGGAGGGGTCCCCTACTAAAATACAGTACAGGACAAAAAGCCGGTACCCTTATTCTAACCTCTCTTCTGGAGGACCTAGGTTTTTTGATTTCGACAGGGTTGTGGTTGATCGTCCAGGGGTTTATCCAATCACTTCGAAGTGATACAAGAGAATCCGGGGTCAGTTCTTGGGAGGCTCTTCTTGTTGTATCACGAAAGTGGTCATTTCCCACAGCCTGCATTTCAAGGCTTGCCTCGCAGCTGAATTGAATGGCCAATATGCGTATAGCAAAGTCCCCAAAAGCAAGCCAAGGACGGGATAAATGCTGCACTATAGCGCTTGAGCCCCTTTATTCAGCTGGGTGAATTTGGCAACTGGCGCAAATGGTGGCAGACTCTGTATGCCATTCTTGATGCAAACGGTATGGCTGTGGGTCAAAAATAGGTGCCCTATATAGGGTTGCCCTGGTAGATGAAGCCAAGAACTAAAACTTGCAGTGCCCTGGTGGTTTAATTTTGCATCGCTGTTCTTTGCATGTTTTTTTTTAATAGTTTTTTGGTTCTGTTCATTTTTACTGGGGGTCTGCAAAAAACAAAGTTTTTTGCTACCATACCAAGAATAGAGATGTTTGGCCCATACCCTAATACGAGGTTCAGGGGTCCTGCCCATGCAAGGATCGACACGGAGGGTGCCGAATGGCCAGTGCTGGAACAGCTGATGAACAGCCCAGAGAAGGCAAAGATCAGGACGCTGGATATGGAGGCGCCTCACGACCGGAAAAAAAAGAGGGAGACTTTTTGGTGGATTTCGCCAAGGGATGTTAGGACAAAAAAATGTTTTTTCATATTAAACCACGAAAAGTGTTGAACCTTTAGCAGGGGAGCAGAAAGCAACCAAGGCTACGTTTGGCTTGTTTTAGATTGAGGTTCATTGTGTTGGTCTTCGTTTTCCCACCGAAGTTTTGCTGTTGCAATTTGGTTGCAAGTGAGGTGCACTTCGGTTGGAACAACGCTGGCAACCCTGAGCACATCAAGACGCTCGCCGGATTTACGACCTGCTCCGGCCAAATACGTGTGATTCGTAGGCACGCAGATGCCATCGAGCAGTGAGCTTGCAAAGGCTGCCTGCTTGCAGGCAGAAGACTTAGATGAGCGACACCCCTTCAATTCCTTCTTTTATAAGTGGGTTCCGCACTCGTGGTCAAGCCGCCCACAACGGGGTGCCATTTTGTACCAGGGTCACGGGGCAACCGGAACGATGAGCGCGGCCAGTTTTACCAGAGAACGCCTCCGACAAAAAAGGCGATTGTTTGGGCAAGGGGGCCATCCCTCTATTTGTATGTGCGTAATTATGTTGCATCTTGTTTTTCATGAAGCGGGCCCCCACCTAAATCAAAGTCCCACTGGCAGCGCTAGCTTCGCGCTAGCTCATGTGAGATGCGCAGGCATGGCGCTTCTGTCTGGTCGCTCTCAGGGCTCAAGGCATTCCTTGCTCACAAAGCGAATGTGCTGCGTCTGCCACGAAACCTGCACGTGTTTTTGCGAAAGTGCTGCGCCTGCCATGCCTGCCCTTCGGAAAGCATTGCGCATATCCTACAGCAGCTCTACAAGCTCGGATAGCTCATCCGACAGCAGCTAGGAAAAGGCCCGCGATAGTGCGCCTCAGTTATTTGTACGTTTCTTAGTCAAATCTCTTGTGCCGCAATGGTTACGTGTTCATATGGCCCGAATGATACGGCCCCCATGGAATAACAATTTACGCTACAAAACTGGGAGCCAACATTTTGACAAGCAGCCATGTAGCTAACGGAAAAGGGGGAGGCAGGTGTGCACGAACTCCCCTTGATGTATCCGTGGGCTTGAGGAAGATGAAGCAACAAGAGCTTCTTACGATGCAAGTGGCCACCATGGAGAAGCTTCTGGATGAGTTCTACTGCACGGGCTCCACGCTGGAAGTTTACCGGGAAGGCGAAGCCTAGATGTTGGTCGCTGCCCCGCGTTTCCGGTTTGCATAGCCATTGTACGGTACAGGGAAGACCGTAGTTCTTATGTCCCCACCCCGTTCATCACTACAAATGGGGGGAGGTCCGGAAATGGAACTGACTTGTTTTGGATTGACCCTCCAGCGGACAAAAGGAGGTCTAAGTTACATTTATTCAGCCTCCCCACCCGAACAACATCTTGTTTTGTGAGGGGGGGGGGGGGGTAACAAATGTACGTGCATTTGTTTCCCCGTCCATTGACCACCCCCAAAGACGACCAAGTCCGTCCAAACTCCCGGATAGTTCAGCTTGCATCTTGGAAATTGTAAGAGAATATGTTCCAGGTCCTGCGCAGTGCCCTTTGACACCATCAAATTGTAACACTACAATGTGTCGTGCCTGTGAGAAGATCTGATATATACCTTTTCAGGCGCCTGCCGATGAATTATTTAAGATGGTTCCGGAAACGCCAATCCCATTGCAACCAGGGGAAACGGCATGCATGCCTTCATGTAGGCTGTTATCCCACTAAGCCTGGCGGCGGTAATTTCGGGGTGTGGAAGCCATGTTGGAATGTAAATTCAAGAGGTAAGAACCCCTGGCTCTGCCAACCATATTTGACCATTCCAAAAACCAGCAAAGGGGACCGAAACTGCGCCTGCCGGGAAGAGGGGGTACAGTGGAATAGCTTAAGGGGGACAAGCGTCCCTATACTTTTCAAAAGACGTGGGGATCAGCGGATTTGTTTTGTGTTTTCGTGGTCGGCAGCTTTGCCAGATTGGTTTTCATGTGGGCAACGGCAGGTCTGGACAGGCAGGGCATTGGCGTATGCTTTGTGTTTTCCTGCATTGCACATCCTTTCCAGGGGAAAGTGGGTGGAGGCTATGCAGGTGTCGATGCATGCGTGTTCCGTGCTGGGCAGGTAGGGTGTGTAGGTGGAGGGTAAGTACCTCTCAAGTTCCATGCGCGTTCCATGCTGGATGGTGGGGCCGTTTGTTGGGCAGCAATCTCCGCTTTTGGACTTCCAGCAGGGGCATTCTCATTGACACCCGCCAGCACATCGGACCTTTATAAAGAAGGAATGCAGTAATTGTCAATAGGTAGCCGGGCAATCCATGGCAGCGTGCCAAGTTGCAGGTTTGCCGTTGCTCCCTGCTTGCGACCAAAAAGGCACCTCCTTGCACCACTGCCCCCGCCCCCACTGCTTTAGCCTCGCTCGCCGGAAATCCTCGCAGGTTGGAAGCCCCAAGACAACTGCGCCAAGAAAGACTGCGGCGAGCCCCCCGCGACTTGTCCACGTCTTGGGATCCCTTGCGTCCGTTGTCCAAAGCCGACCTTTTCACCTTTTTCCCCTGTTGGTTTCCCCGTGTTGTTTGGTCACGGCCAGAGGCCGGAGAAAACCTCGCAATGGCTCCCCTGGCCGGGCTCCTTTGATCATTGGGTGCGAAATAGAAATTTGTTTGCTGGCTCGGAAGCTCAAGTGGGGTGGATGCTTTATCCCCCCTTGGTTCTTGTTTTTTTTTGTTTTTTCTCAGAGGCCCCCCTCCAATCTTTTTTATTCAGCTTTGGTGGGTGGGATGTTCGCGGGTAGTTTCCCAACGCGGCGTTCAAATCCCCCAACCACAAATCCAAGTCACCAGCTGAAGGTTGCCTGACATATTTGCCAGCCACATGGTGGCGGTTTGTATCGGAGGGTAAATGCTTGAAGCCTTGAAAGGCCCCCAGGAGCAGCTTAAGCAGTTGCTTTCTACCAGGTGCATGAAACGCCCTGTGACCGGAAGCACTGGACTCATGAACCCCCTGTTTTCGGAAGCACTGGCAGCTTGGAAGGCTTGCACACATGAGTAAGGTGCACAGGAACCCTGGGCCCCCAAAGGAACCCTGGTCTTCTGAAAGGGCTTGCGCACTTCCGTGTGGTTTTACGTTGGCACGGGGGGCGCATCTTGTCGCACGCGCTTCTTGGTTCTGGGAGGCCGGAAAACAAGCCCAGTTCACCAGGGGTCAGGAAAGCCAGGCTGAGCTTTCAATTCTGGTTGTGCTGCTCTCCAGTTTTTGTTTTTTTGTTTAATAGTAGTCCCCTTTTACCCATTTTTTGGGGGAGTTTTTTTTTTTGTCCCCCTTTGCCCCTTTTTTGGGGGAGGCTTCCCCTACGACAATACAGGTATATTTGCCCGGCGGCTTCTCCGTGGAGATGTTTGCGGTGAGCTATGCGAACAGAGCACTCGTGAACTGAGTCCCAGGCGCAAACACCCAGCCGATGTTATCTTTGGTGCATTTTGCAAAGGGGTGCATTTTGGCCAACTAATGGGTTTTCCGTATTGAACCACTAAAAGTTAAACTTTTAGCTGGGGAGCAGAAGCAAGACGAGAAATGGTCCCGATTAAGTGAATCATTGATGAAATGGGTGTGGCTCAAAATTAAACTGGAGGGGCTACGCAGGTTTTGGTCCATGTTTCCACTTACCAGAGCAACCCATTTTGGTACTGGGTTTTTGAGCCACAGCCAAATGGTCCCGATTAGGTGAATCATTGCAAGGACTCACAGAAGGAGTCGTGAGGGCGGCAGATATGGGAGTGTCTTCCATTGAGGGTGATTTGTGTTGGTGCGTTGCAAAGGGAAACCAAACGGACAGAACCGAGCTCCAGGCCCACTCCAACATACTCCAACCAGATGAATGAGTATTCCCCAGGTACCACTATGGTGAACAGGAGGTGAAGCCACGATTCAAGACCTGGAATGTAGGAGTTTGTGCGCCAAACCCGGTTTGTTTTTTGCAGGCAAGTCAGCTGTAAGATGATTTCACCATACTAGAGGCAAGATAACAACTGGTCACCTGACTGTGCCAGATCAAGCTGACATCCAAATAGTTCCCCCATTGGGTGATTCAACCATCATGTCTTGGGTCCTTTTGAACTTTGTTCCTTTCCCGGAGTGCTGTTACAGAAGATTGCTTGAAGCTACTGTTAAGAGTTTTCGTCCAGCCAACCGTTGAGGGAGGTTAACATATTTTTTTTAGTGATTTGGGAGTGAGGGTTGGAGCAAGAAAATAGCAATCTGAAAATTAAGAGCAAACTGAAAAGCAAGAAAAAAGTGATTCACTTGCAACAGTTGACAAAAAAAGCAAGAAAATAGTGATCAGATGGTCATCAAATAGTGATTTGGGCACCTCAAAATAGCGAGGATCCAAATAGTGATTATATGGGAGATCACTATTTTCTTGCTTTTTTTGGCAGGCGACAACCCTCAAAACCCGGAGATCTGCAAATCACAACGGGAGATCACTATTTTCTTGCTTTTTTGGAGTGGGAAATCACTATTTTCTTGTTTTTTTTGGAGGCGACGACCCTCGAAACCCGGAAATCTGCAAATCACAGCGGGAGACACGATTTTCTTGTTTTTTTTGGAGGCGACGACCCTCGAAACCCGGAAATCTGCAAATCGCAACGGGAGATCACTATTTACTTGCTTTTTTGGAGTGGGAAATCACTATTTTCTTGTTTTTTTTTGGAGGCGACGACCCTCGAAACCCGGAAATCTGCAAATCGCAACGGGAGATCACTATTTTCTTGCTTTTTTGAATGGGAGATCACTATTTTCTTGCTTTTTGTTGCAGGCGGCGACCCTTGAAATCCGGAAATCTGCAAATCACAACGGGAGATCACTATTTTCTTGCTTTTTTGGAGCGGGAAATCACTATTTTCTTCTTTTTTTGGCAGGCGACGACCTTCGAAATCCGGAAATTTGTAAGTCACAACAGGAGATCCCTATTTTCTTGCTTTTTTGGAGCGGACAATCGCTATTGTTTTGCTTTTTTTGGCAGGCGACAACCCTCGAAGCCCGGAAATCTGCAAATCACAACGGGAGATCACTATTTTCTTGCTTTTTTGGAGTGGGAAATCATTATTTTCTTGTTTTTTTTGGAGGCGACGACCCTCGAAACCCGGAAATCTGCAAATCACAGCGGGAGATCACTATTTTATTGCTTTTTTGGATGTTGTCGCCTGCAAAAAAATAAGAAAATAGGGATTTCCCACTGCAAAAAAGCAAGAAAATAGGGATCTCCCGTTGTGATTCGCAGATTTGCGGGTTTCAAGGGTGGCCGCCTGCAACAAAAAGCAAGAAAATAGTATTTTCCCACTCCAAAAAAGGAAGAAAATAAGGATCTCCCGCTGTGATTTGCAGATTTACTGGTTTCGAGGGTTGATCGCAATTTTCTTGCTTTTTGTTTCACAATTGTCTTGCTATTTTCTTGCTATTTTTGGTCTCTTGTTTGCTGCATTCTTGCTTTTTTAGTGCCCACTGTTTGCTCTCAAATCACTTTTTCCTTGCATTTTTTCCCACCCGCAACTTGGGATCACTATTTTCTTGCTCTGTTGCTTGCTCTACATCTCACAAAAAAATTGAAACAGCATTTTCCAATGGTTGGCTGGTTTCGCAAGTCTTAAAGCTACTGAAAAGGGCCACTTTGGACCAGCATGTTTGCTTGGTTTCCCAGGTTGAACCGTTTTCAGGTGGCTTGGGTGTCGGAATCGGACGCAGTGGCTTGTTGCTAAAGGATCTCCCCTTGGGCCCGCCCAAGGGGGGTTCCAACTTGAATGGTTTTGGTCTTGGCCGGAGACGCAATGCCTCCGGAGTTTGGGAATATTTTTTGTTAAGTCATGGTGAGCCGTGTTTGGGTTAAGGCTGTTTTTAGTCATGGTTCCCGAAAGGCTCCTGTCCGGCATGTTGGCTTGCGAGTCAGCATGGCCTTGAAGGGTCGCGCTTGCCTGGGTAGGAGCAGGAATCACTGAGAAGGTTTAACACCCCTCGTGACGACGCGATCTGGGAGGATCGTGAGGATTGTCCAATGCGAGGTCCCTTTTACCCTTTTTTGGAGGAGGGTTCCCCTGCTAAAATAGACTACGGCAAAAAAAGTTTGGGTACCCTTAATCTATCCTCTCTACTGGAGGACCTAGAATGGCTCGGCAAAGGGACCCACTTTCTCCAACACAAAGTACATGTCGGGCCCCCTGGACCAATGGGATGTGCGCTTCGTGCGTTTCAATACCGTCTCCCACCCAACCAAACGCATGCTTGTTTGAAGCACGCCTGAAAAGCACACGTCTTGGTGGCTTCCAGCCATCCCCTTTGCTTTTTAGCCTTTTAGTGTTTAGTGATAGTATCTATTTACCCCACTAAAAGTTAAACTTTTGTGCCCTCAGCGCAGAGTTGGATTTGCGTCTTTCAGCGGAGGTGTTTGCACGCGAAGTGCCAGAGCTTCCCTTCCCAGCGCTGGCAAGCGGAGAGAGCGGCAGTGAGCAAGCGACACAGCAAGTGTGGTGCAAAAGATGGGATCGATCGAGCGAGCAGATGTGAGTGTTTGGCTTCTCGAGTTTGAGCCATGTGAAGTCCACCCGAAAGCAGTGTTTTTTCTGTGATTTAGGCAGCCAGACCTTCATTTCCCGGGGAATCTGAGGCGTATGGGCCTCGGGGCGCAAACCGTTCCAATGAAGTGCTAGGTGTTGCTCGCTCCCGTGAGTGTTTTTTTTGCCCAGCCTTCCCCCCCCAAAAAAAGTATGTATGTCCAAGGTCACGCAGGGGTCCAAGTATTTATTCCATCTAAGAAGATCAATGATTGCAGTGCCTGGGGGCCATTTGAGGGCTTTCAAGCCTTGTGGCGCAGAGGGGTGGGTGGGCCTGAAAGAGAACCGCTGGTTTTGGAGGGCTTTCTCCCTTTTGAGAGAAATAGCTTCACGGGAGGTTTTTTTTTTTTTCCGGCTGAGAAGCTGCATGGCCATGAGGCGTTTTTCTTATGGAGCAATGTTTGGAGGGAAGTGCTTTTGGCAGTGCATTTTGCCGGGGGCTACCCCCCGTAGTGCCCTTTTACCTTTTTTTTGGTTGGGAGGGCTCCCCCAACTAATGTAACTACAGACAAAAAGGGTACCCTCCTTCTAACCTCTCTACTGGAGGAACTGGCGGGGGACCGTGCTGAGGGCCTCTTGTGATTTGTTTGTTCGATTCTTGTCGCAAGCTGACGGCCCGCAGTTGCCAGTCCCCGCGCTGTAAGTCGTGGTTTTGGCGGGACCCTTCTTCCTTTTTTGTGTTTGGCGGGTTCCCCTCGAATGGGCAGATTGCGTGGCGCTTTTGCTTTGGCGCCTTCTGTTGAACAGGTTTTACGTTTTGAGTTTCGCTGAATATTGAAACAGTGAGCCAGGTTGATCAATCAAGCTTACCTTCCTTCAAACGGAGATCCCGCACATGAAAGGGCGACCAAAACAGCGAAAACGTCAAAAGCACCAGCCAATCAGTTTCCGGGTCCCTATTTTGACACACCCAACTGGGTGTGTCGTTTTTAGGGAACCCCATGTTTTAAAATGATGTTCCGTTTGGCTTCCAAACTTGACACAAACCAAAAGAAGGTTCCCCAAAACAAGCCAGCCCCAAATCATGGTTGTTGCGGGGAAGCATTTTGCATTGTTGCTTATTGTGGTTTAGTGGTTGAAATCCCCTCACTTAACTGCTTTTTTTGCTCCCCTTCCAACGTCAACCAAGAAATACATGGGACTCCCATTAATAAAGATGATGATGTTCCCTTTCACTTCCCCAGTAAAGGAGGGTTCCCTAAAACAAGACAGCCCCAACTACACCAAGTACACCAGCATCAATCCGATTTCCCCGGCCACTTCTCTTCGCCGAAGCGTGTGAAACCCCACACAGAGGCCACAGAGGCCGGCAGCTTCCTGGGTGCCTGGTCCGCCTCGGTGGGCAAGTGGGGCCAGGAGGGGAGGGACACAAAATCCAAGGAACGTCACCCGGGAGGAGGGGATATGGCAGTGGGTCAAAACCAATGATATTATTTTGGGGTAGGTGCACCACCCATTTTAGTCTATTTCAGTGGGGATTGGGATGTTCACTGGGGGTACGGGATTTTTGACCCGCAAAAAAACAGGCACGCTGATGCAGAGACGGACACAAACACCGAGAAAGCGAGAGAGATTGAGAGACACAGGCACAGACACAGCAGAGGCACCAGACGCGAGACACGTGCACAGACATAGGCGCAGGCAGGGGCAGACAGACCGACAGACAGACAGACAGACTCCAGAGACAGAGAGAGAGAGGGTGAGGCAGACACACACAGACACACAGACACACACATATATATATATATTTGTATATATACACTTATATACGCACGCGCGAGCGCATTTACACAGAGATTCAGAGATACACAGACACACAGACACGCACCCCTGTACCTGCCTGCCCGCCCGCACGCACGCACGTCCGCGCTCGCACCCGCGCGCCCGCTCACGCGTGCGCACCCACACACAGAGACACACCCACGCACTGCACTGCACGCACGCACGCGCGCGGGGACGAACGCGCACGCGCTTATATAAATAGATAAATGGCTTAATACCTAATGAAGAAATTTACAAACACACGTCTTTATCTCTATTTTATGTACCCATAACAATAATACCGAACATTAGTTGGAAACACCTTCAGCCCCTTTCTACTTTTTTAGTCGCGTTTTGTATGCTGAACATTCAGAAGCTCATTTGCCATCACGAAAGTCGGGCCAGAATCAACCGTATTGTTTCTGTTGGGGGCGGAAGCCGAGGGTAAACATATACAATTGGCATCCCCACTTTTGTGTGCAACGAAACCTAGCTTCCGCTCAAAACAAAATTCCCCACTTTTGTGTGCAAACTCCAAAAAAAAGGATTCCAGTGTGTCCAAGCGGCCAGGACGTGTGGAGTGGGCTTTTCACAAATCATTCTCCTGGCTCGGGCGGCATCATCGAGGACACTGATGGGCCTTTAGCGAGAAATTAGCTGCGCCCCCGGTCCAAGACGATTGTCACTACACCCAAGGGGAAATTGCAGATTGGTTTTGCCTTCTTTTTTTCCGGGGGAACCCCAAGCTGTGTTTTCTTTTGGTTTCCCTTGAGGCCTACACAAAATGGGAACCCTCAGAAGGAGACCCTTTTTGGCCCGGTGGCATTATTCAATGGAAAAGGGGGTTAGACCACCACGTCGAGCTGCTGCATGGAGATCGATGATTGTTCGCATTTGTTTTCTGGTCCCCTCACAATATCTTCCAATAGCGGTAGTGGTTTGGGGGGTAGTTGGCATTACACGGCCAGTAGGATTTCCATCCCCAAAGTGTCGAACGCCCAGAGATACAGTTGACAATGTCAACAATCCCACAGAGCTGCAATATTCGCCAGCAGCTTCCACAAAGAGGATGCCATCGGGGATGCTTATCAGGTTATGATGAGGACAAGGGTTTACTCACCAGATTCCAGTGTGAGTTGGGGAGGGTCAATATTGACCACCACTCGCATGCAATGAATTGCCTTTGACCGTGGTTCCCCCGCTGTTTTAAAATGTTACTCTACGCACCAGTTTTGGGGAAATGATGTTCAGTGAGCCTTTTCTGGCATATGCATGGCACTTGTGTGCAAGCACTCAGAACACTCAGATCGCTCGAGCAGGCAGCAACAGGGCAACCCTTGCCGCGACCTTCAGCGTAAAGCCGAGGTAAGTGTACTCAAAGACCCATTGTTTTTAGGCATTGGCTCTTTCGCTTGCTCGCCCCAATCGAACCTTTTGGCCTTTGGTTCCCATATTTTGTGTTGATGTTGAGCCAAGTTTCCAGAGCACGTGGGGAAACGGAGTTCAGGTTTGTGGTTCACGCCATGTGGCGCAAGAGATGATCAGCGCCATCCAGTGATGCTGTTCACGCGCGTTCACGCGCGCAGCCCTTGGCTGTTCGTCTATGTGTGCTTGTTTCGACGTTGCTTCTTTCTGTTTAGGGAGTTTAGAGGCCGCACGCCCTCCATCTTTTTTGCTAACCTGCCCGAGCTTTGGAAGCTTGGAGAGTTGGCCGGTGTGGCCCGGTGCCTCTCCCGCTTCTTCTTTTTTTTTTTGTAATGGCGACGGTGCCAACCGTTTGACGGGACCGGGCTAGGACAGCTTTATGGGACTGCTCTCAGCCGCCGGGAGCCCTGAGAAGGCTGAGCCGAAGAAGGCTCCTGAGCGTGGCAGGCTTGAGGCTTGCTGCCGAGCGCTGAAGGCAACCGAGTTAATCTAGGCCCCCCAGCAATTGGTGCAACCTGTCTCACCCCTTTTTTTTTGGTTGGGAGGGTTCCCCTACTAAAAAAGACTACAGAAAAAAGTTGGTACCCTTATTCTAACCTCTCTACTGGAGGACCTAGTTAATGTTGACCCCGTCTGAATCAATCCCAGCTTATGGATAAGGGGCTGGGGGCCCCTCCAAAAAGTGGCCGGATTCCCCACAAAACCCAGAAACACCCCCTCTATTACTAAACTGGGGCACTGGGATTGATTCATATGGGGTTAACATTACCTTTGGAGGTGACCCTCATGGTTTGTCTTGTGGCTTCTTTTTGATCCAGCCCGAGAAAACCATCCAAAACCACATAAATCCCCATAAGGCTCCCCCTTGGCGTCCCGTTCGCTCACCTGAGGTGTCCCTCTTCTCCTTGTTCCAAATGGCCTTCCTCAAGCGGAAGTCCAACTCTTTCAGCTCCCAGCCTGAGAAATGTCTCCTCGACTTTTTGCGGAGATTGGGCGGCGCCAGTGTGAGGCAGGGGTTGCCTTGTGGCATGTAACAACTTCCGTTCCGGGACTTTAAACTGTTTGGGCTTGGACCATTTTGGTGGCAAATGCAAAGTCCTGACCTTTCTTGGGCCATCTACTCAAGGAGTGAGGATGTGGGGATGCCCAAGACGAATTCAGGGGGTTCTATTTCGGGGTCGGGGTTACTCGGGGGGTCTTTGGCTCGCTTGCGAATGGAGTAAGGGGTTCTATTACCCATGGCCAGGGTATACGAAGGCAGAAGTCTTTACAAATAGCCCCACGGCGTTGCACGTGTGATTTGGGAAGTGGGCGGGGTGATTTCTTGGAATCGCTCCGTTCCATGTTTCCCATGCGGGTGGGTATCTGTTTGGAATGCTTTTTGCAGGGGAGGCCCCCAGGCGAAACCGAAAAAAATCGCGCGCGCGCGCACACACACACACACACCTGGACAGGCGTCGGTTCCAGCTTTGCCTTGAAGGTCCCCGACAACGCTAGACCAGTTTACTTTTGTGCATACTTCAGATTTGTTCAGTACGTTGCCTTGCCAGCAACTCCATCACTTTTTAATATGTTCAAATCTCTTCAGGAAAATGGCCTCACGCCCTGCCAAGGAAGTGCAACCGGCATCAGAGGTGAAAATGGTATGGTGAATCACTAGGGGCATGGGCAGACGCGTGAGGACCCCAAGGCAAACCTCTGGTGCATTTTGCCAAGGGATGTTAGGACCTTTAC